CCTGTCTATCTTCTCCTGCTGTTCCTGTTAGTGTTTACTTCCTGTCTATCTTCTCCTGCTGTTCCTGTTAGTGTTTACTTCCTGTCTATCTTCTCCTGCTGTTCCTGTTAGTGTTGACTTCCTGTCTGTATTCTTCTGTTGTTCCCGTTAGTGTTTACTTCCTGTCTATCTTCTCCTGCTATTCCCGTTAGTGTTTACTTCCTGTCTGGAGTCTTCTGCATTTCCTGTAGGGGTTCACTTCCTGTCTATCTTCTTCTGCTGTTCCCGTTAGTGTTGACTTTCTGTCTGTATTATTCTGTTGTTCCCGTTAGTGTTTAATTCCCGTCTAGTTTAGTTAGTTTAGTTTATTTATTTATTTTCGAGCGTGTAAAACTAAAGAAAATACAAATGAAACAAAAGGTGATACAGACATGATACAGTACTATACAAATGAATGCAATAACAAAACGAAACATTTAATTAATAATTGAATAATCTGTAGTATCATTGTCTGATATCAATAAACAACAAAGCTTTAGTTAATTACACGTCCGAAAAGGGGTCGGAAGAAGTTTACACTTATTTAATCCGACCCCTTCTCCCAAAAAAAATATGTTACATCTTAATATATGTTAACATACAATATAAATGTATACTTATAATCTTGAATAATTGATATAATCATTCATATAATATATATCTATATATACAGGCAAGTTAGGAGAATGGTCTCCATATATTTATATATATATATATATATATATATATACATATGTACACATACAAATACATACATACACAAATTCATAAATAGAATACAAAACAAGAATATAAACAGTTATGGTTTAGCAATTTCATCCCTGTACCTTGTGAGAATTGTCTGTCTTCTTCTGCTGTTCCCTTCAGTGTGTAAAAGACAAGCATGAGCGTGAACTTTCACATTTTTAATCATCTGCTTTTCTTCGTGCACATGAGATCAAATGAGATTTTACTTATGTAGGAACACTAGATATAAACAGAGGCAGATTCATATGAACACAGTGCGATGTCTTGTCTCTGCTCCTGTATACCAGCTCATTCAACAGATGTGATTACTCCTTAGTTTACACCACCCCCCCCCCCCATGTTTGCATGCCCATCTCTCAGTGTTGTCATGTGCAGAATGAGAGTATGTACCACGTTATGTTCCAGTCAGTCTGATGAGGAATATGGACCGAAGCCAATATAATTAGAGCCACACTGACTCAGTGTCCACAAAGCCGAGTGTGAATGAAAGCTCTTAATTTCGCTTTTGTTTGTTTCTGAGGCTTTTGAAAAAGAAGCATGTTTGTGGAGCGATAAGACTGTGTGTGTGTGTGTGTGTGTGTGTGTGTGTGTGTGTGTGTGTGTGTGTGTGTGTGTGTGTGTGTGTGTGTGTGTGTGTGTGTGTGTGTGTGTGTGTGTGTGTGTGTGTGTGTGTGTGTGTGTGTGTGTGTGTGTGTGTGTGTGTGTGTGTGTGTGTGTGTGTGTGTGTGTGTGTGTGTGTGTGTGTGTGTGTGTGTGTGTGTGTGTGTGTGTGTGTGTGTGTGTGTGTGTGTGTGTGTGTGTGTGTGTGTGTGTGTGTGTGTGTGTGTGTGTGTGTGTGTGTGTGTGTGTGTGTGTGTGTGTCCTCCTTATCTCTGATTCAGGAGCCAGATGGGTATTCCTCTTCTCATTGTTGTCCTCCTACACTCTCCTTCACAACACGTCTTCTGCTTCCTTATTTAGCTAGCCTGTTTTCAATCTGGTTTATAATCTTTTCTTTATTCTCCTTCTCCTTGTTTTACTCGAACATATCCTCAGCTAATCTTATTTGTGCTGCTTCTTCTTCACCTGGACATAACACTGAGGCCTGTATTTCAAACATCATGCATGCAGTTTATTAGAGTCCTGATTTGAGTTAACCTCCTGGAATTTCTACTAAAGTAACACAAAACAGAGCATATTACATCTTTCAAATATTGGGAATTAAATGTTTAAAGATATGTTTCTGTTCTGCATAAGGATGTTTTTTTAGTAGATGAATATAAATTGGGTTCCTAAGAAATACACAATATAAAAATGTTGAATAAATTAATATACTTGATAATAGACACATTTACTTCTTCTTGTTTCAAATATGAATTACATTTAGTAGAAATTGTATTATAATGTAGGTGTTGTGATAAAAGATACACCCAAAGTCCTTTAAAGATAACATAACAAAATCGATGTAATATGATTCTTTAAATTACCTAAATTGTGTTAAACTAAATCTCAATTAGTCCAGGTCTTAGGAGTTTTTTAAGTGATCAATAAACACCTGTACACAATCACTAGACGGCGCGTTTATGGGCACGCTGCTGCATTTCTCTGCAGTAGGGGGTCTCAATAACACTTTAATCAAGGATCACTCTGCTAATTAGCATAGTGTTAGCTCTTTAAATTATCAAGGCTAAAGCAGCTTGGTGTAGTATCAGTCTGTGCATGGTGGAGGTCTTCCCCCCCCCCCCCTTAATTGGATGTTTGAATGCACCCATTTATCCACATAGGAGCATCTAATTGGGTTTCTTTGACATCACACACAGCTTACGCAGTTTTGGCTGGGCATCTAGATTTGAGCCGGATTTAATTGTGGGTTATGGGAACGTTAAAGGAACGTGTTCACGGGGCTGTGAACATATCACCTGCTCCGGAGTTTTGTTGATGCTGCGTCTCCTGGAGGAGAGTTTCTGGCTGGCTGCTCCTGCAGGAGTCTGTCTGCGGTCAGGATCTCAGGATGCTGCAAAGTGAAAAAGTTTTATATTCCAACACAATTTGAAGAAACAGAAACAAAGTCATGCATCTTTAAACATTACTGAAAATGCTTTGAAACTTAACTGAAGCTGCCCTTAACAATATGTTGGGCGTTATCAGTGTTTTACTTTACTTTGTATAATGTAAAACGTTGACAGATTATCACAGAGCATTTTGGCGTCTCCCAATGCAAATAAAATGCTGATGCAGAGATATATTGCTCTGTGTCTAGACCAACTCAAGCTCCCTCCTGTCACCACTTTACAGGGTTCTGAGATTGAATCTGAGTCTCAATACAAATATTTGTAGAATTGTAATTGACAATTTCCTCTCCTAAAAGCAACATTCAACAACTGGTAGAAAAATGAAGGATACCAACAGGTTATAAATAAGTTCTGTTTTTCTTTCAAGGCCAGAAAGAGACAACATTTATGTCAGTGCTGGAATATGGTGATTATTATATGAATTAGCTACATGCCCACGCTCTTCAGAAACCATCTACCACTGTCCCTGAGGTTCATACAAACCATAAACCTCTTGAACGCACCATTGCTCCTTTTACGCTCGGGATGGATGTTTGCCCTGATCACCTGTAGACTAAACCATTGGCATATCCTTATTTATAAGTCTATTCTTTGTTCTCTCCAACCTCATCTTCCGATTTGTATCCTTTGAATAGTATGGGTATTCATTGGCTTTGCTCTGAGGACTTGTTACTAACTGTCCCTGAAGTCCACACTGAGATGGCGAGTAAAAGAAAGAGACAAACAAGAAACGGAAACAAAGTCACCTATACTGAAACACAATTGTCCGATTAACCTCACAATTCAGATTATCACCAGATTGCTCTTAGCAGCATTTTGGCCTCTTTCAGCCTCATGTTTTGGTTTTGCAGCCTGCAACTTAAGACTTTGATTCACTCTCACAGCTGACACTCGTTTTCCGCAGCAGGAGGCTTCAGTTTAAAGGGCCCATGTCATGCTTTTCCGGTTATTACCCGTCCCCTTGTGTGTTATGAAGGTTTTTATGGATGTAAACGGTGTGCAGAGTCACAAACCCTCAAAGTACACCCTGTAGCGAGTAAAACTCTAACACAGAAAATACCTCCCCAAAACGCCTCGTTGGAGATACGTCTTTGTCCATTTGATTCTTCCATTTCGTTCCGGGTACGGCATGATGTCATGCCGTACCTGGAACGAAATGGACCAATCCGTGGAGCCGTTACGTTACGTCCGCGGAGCCGTTACGTTAAGCCCCCGCTGATTGGTCCAAATTGACCAATCCACGGACTTCCTCACACACACATCTGTGTGCAGGGAGCAGGCAGCTCAGCTGATTTCTCCTCCCTGGCTGCAGGCTGATAACAGACAGTTGGGATCGCGGCGAAATTCTCTCTGCAGACCCATTCTCACAGCGTTTATCAACCTTTTTCTTACTCAATATCAAGCCACACTTATTGTTTTTACTTCGGCTGTGAGTTTGTGTGTGCTCAGGATGAGTTTGGCTGTGTTTGGCTGTGTATCGCTAACAAGGAAACAACACCTCCACGGAGCTCAGCGCGATTCACAACGTCCCGACCAATCAGAGCACACTGTGCTCACAGGGAGGGTGGGGGCTGGAGCTATTGGAGCTCCAACGAGCCGTTAAAGGCAGAGAGTGAAATTCAGTGAATACAAGTAGTTTACAGAGATGCTGTATGAGAAACCAATGTGAGCTTGGAAAATTGCACAATATAAATCTATTCTAGTAGACCTCAACAATGGAATTATGATCAGTGGAAATGGCCATGACATGGGCCCTTTAAGAGAAACCAACAGGTGAACAGTGTAGCGTGAAGCACTTAAAAGACGAAAAAGAAACGGAAACATATAGTCACATATTCCCAAACATTATTTTCTGATAAACTTTGCATTTTTAAAAAGACTGAAAATGCTTTGAAACTTAAAGTTAGAACATCACCAGACTCAGCTGCTCTGAGGATTGTGTTGGCCTCTTCTAGCTTCGTATTTTGGTTTTTGCAGTCTGCCAATTCAGCGCTTTGATTCGCTCTCACAGCTGAAGCTCGTTTACCATAAACAATTGAAGTATGTCTGCTCATAGATTCACCATTTGCAGCACAGAGTTGGAGCTCGGGCCCAAAGGAAAAAAACATCATGGAGGTTTAAACTCAGTAGCGTTTAAATATGTTTTCGACGCTAACTTTTCATAATTTTTTCTGTGTTCACCAGAGGATACAGAACACTACAGACACCTTGCTGGATTTAACCGGACGCAACATGACAGACTTCCTGGTGAAGACGTTTGAAAACTCGGGGAAGGCGAGGTAAAGCTATCAGAGTGGATGCGTTAATATGTTTTTGGAATAAGATGCATTCACATAGAGAAAAGTGACAATCTTCAGGCAAGTTGTTTTTTTTACACAAAAAGACTCAAATTACTACCTGGGCTGCTGTTGAGAACATGTTAGGCAAACTGTCAACGGGAGACATATTTAATTATAAGGTTGATGTGTTTACTCCTGTCCATATTTATTCCTGTTTTTTCCTGCATGTCATGTGTCTTTGTGTGTGTCCTCCTCTCTGCCCCTCTGCAGGTTGGGAGGCCTTTCAGTCGGAGGAGTAAACTCTCAGGTCCGTATGAGCGAGGCGGCGATCGAAGCGTCATTTAGAGATCTCCGGGAGCTCATCACTCCTTACCAGGTTTGTCTGATTATACCAATCGATTTGGAGTGTGTTTATCTGCAACACGAAGAACAAAAACACCTCAAATCAGCAGATCTATAAATGTGTGCTTAAGTTTTGGATACAAAAACCAATCCACAAATAGTTTGAGCCATTATATTTTAGTGCCCGAGTCTCTCGCTGTGCCTCTTTTTCTTTATTTTATGTTTAGGAGCAGATTGCTCTCCCTAAAATGACCAGATCTATAAATGTGGGCTCCAATTTCCTGAGTTTCATGTACAAGAACCAATCCACAAATTGTTTCTGATTTTATACATTTATATGTTGGTGCCTGAGCCTCTTGCTGTTCCTCTTTCTCCTTCACTATATGTCTTCAAGAAGTTCAGGAACAGAAACAAAAATTACCTCCCTCAAATCACCAAATCTATAAATGTGGGCTCATTTCAACTTTTATATCCAAGAACAAATCCAGAATTGTTTTTGAGTGTATAATGTATTATTGTATTGCCTGAGCCCCTCGCTGTTCCCAAACACTAAATGTTTTTGTAGCTCACAAGTGGTTCAGAAACTGATTTCTCTCCCTTAAATCACCAAATCTATAAATTTGGGCTCCAATATCCCGAGTTTTATATACAAAAACAAATTAAAGTGCCTGAGCCTCTCGCTGTCGCTCTTTCTCCTTCACTAAATGTCTTTGTGAGAGGTTCAGGAGCAGTTTTCTCTCCTGTCAAGGCTGCCTTCAGAGCGGGCAGCTCTTAATTGGAGCGTTCTTTGTTCGCTCAGCTTTGTGCGTTGGGTTCAGGTGATGGTATTTGTTGAGGACTTTTGAACCCCGCTGTATTCTTAAAACGGGGAGAGGAGGTTATTCGCTCAGTGTCCATGGAAACAGGCTGTGGTTGTCTGAGCGTCACGTTGAATACATCTGGGTCCTTTCTGCACACAATCAGGCAAATTCACATGGAGCAGACACACATAAGGTATTCCTGAGCTCCATGTCCCCTCCTTGTCTGTGATTAACATTTTGGGCCGTTCAAACCTCTCTGAGACCAGCTAATTGCCCCCCTCCAGGACCTCTGCACTAATGTGACTTTAATTCGTGCAGCAGGGATGATGTAACCCTAATGGCCGGGCATTAGCTCTGAATCCTGTGTTATTAAAGTGCCGCTCTGTCCTTGGACGGCGTCTGGCTCTCTGCTGCCGGCCGTTAAGATGTGAGGCTCTAACAGGAAGTGTGTCTGCACTCTGAGCCACCTGCGCTGCTTGGCTCTGAAATCTCTGTTTAATTGCATTGCCTGTGTCTCACAGGTAGAAATAGGCTTCTGTGCAGAAAGAGGTGACGCTAACGACGAGGAGAAGAAAGCCCGAGTGCTGGAAGTTTGAATAATAAAGCCAGGAAAAAACATCTGAAACAGCACCAGTGTCTATATGTAGAGTAGTATCGCTGCTCCTTCTCAAACAACATGTCTTTAATCATTTATATCTTACAGGGAAGTAAGTCCTCCCTGGCAAGATCTCAACACACACACACACACACACACACACACACACACACACACACATTATGAGTGTCACACAGACCATATGAGCTCTCTGTCTCGCTGACCATTGATCTGTGCAGCCCTCTTTGGGAATACAAGCCCACAGAGCCGCCCACACTCGAGTGGCTTTATTGCTGAGTCGTTGGCCTTGGCTCCTCTCGCCAAAGCAGCCTTGTCATTGTCCTTGAGCGAGGAGGGTGGTGGTGGGGGGGGGTGCTTTGTGCAGGATAAGACCCAGGCAGCTGCTGGCCCTCTTCTCATCTCGTTTCAGCCTCTGCTAATCCTCCGTAAGGCCGCCTAATGGCACTGCCCGCCGCTGCTTGGCACGATGCAAAGCGGAGCGAGGTAAACACAAACGGCTTTACAGAGCCCCGCACTGAGCTGCAGGAAGATTCACCAACGAGGAGGAAGAGGAGGGTGTGTGTGTGTGTGTGTGGAACAGAAAGGATTTTATTTAACACAAATACTCCTGTCAAATACAGGGGGGGGGAGAGGTTTTTATTCCTCCTCTTTCACACGAGTTCCCGCTGCGCAAAATGATGTGTAAACATTTTGTCACGCCAAAGAAATCTGAATGCAAATTTCTAAGAATATGAGAGTGAAGGATTGTGGGATAAAAAGGTGAAGTGGTTTAAATATATTTCTCTCTTGGAGCTCTCCACCTCTCTCCAGATGTCTGTCCTGATTTCTCTCCCCCCCTGTGTTCTCCCCTGCACTTTTTCCTCGTCTCCTCTGCGATGGATGCAGGGTGCAACAGGAGGCCATTTGCATTTATATCACATAATGTGCTCGCTGCTCTTATGGCCGGGCAAACAGCATGGCGTCAACATGACACTTTGCAGACGCTGTCATCGCAGACCCTCATCCCAATGCTCATTTCACATGAGACATGAGAGGGGGGTATTCTAACATCTTCAATATCCCCTCACCATTTTACTCCTTCTATATGTCCACCTGGAGTCCTTCTTATCTCATGACTTTCATCATCCCCAGAAACGTCAAAAGAGGCAAAGTTAAAATAAATTCAGGATACATTTCCTCCCGAAGTCTGAGGAACATTTTCTATCCCCCTCTGCCTCATGTTTTGCATTTCAAAGAGCAGTGGTGGTTTTCCAAGTGTGTCCAATTAACTTGTTCTTGTTTTCCTCGTCTTCATTAAGGATAATGTGACGGATCAGATCCTGCAGAATGCCGAGGTGCTGCTGAAGAAGCTGGGAACCAGGGACAATGTGAAGGTAATATATTAATATTTGTATTAATTACCATGAGCGCCTTTGTTCTGCTGTGTGAGTGCATCCAATCAGATGAAGGTTTGGTGATCTCTCAGGTTGAATTAAGCAGCCACCTAAACCTGCTCTACTTATGTGTTAGGATTGTTTTATATGAATAAATATAGCTGAAAAATAACAGCAACTGACAACCAAAAATAATATTTAAGGAGTGTTCAGTCTGTGTATAAGTGGAATAAATGTGTGTTTAATGTTAAAGTTAATATCTCCGGCTTTTACATCTCAAAGCAGAGTTTTGCTCCTCCCTAAAACACGCCGGTGTTTGAAGTCTTTTCAGAAGTGAGAATGCAGATGCATCATCCCGTATCTGCTCACATTTCCTCACTCCCTCGTGCATTTAGCAGGCGTCTGCTGTTCTTTATCTTCAAAACATCAAATGACCTTTCACAAAGTACAGGATGAGGAAAAACACTTTAATGGAAAGAATATCGATTTGTATGTGAGATACAGCAAGAGAGACAAAGACTGTGTGTGTGTGTCTTTGTTTGAGTGTGTGTGTGTGTGAGATGTAAGGCTGACACTCTCCACTCTTAATTAGCTGCTCTATCAGTGGGGAGTCTTCCCTCACAGTCTTTCATCCTCTTCTTCTTCTTCTTCCTCGCCTCACTCTGTGCCAAAATGTTTTTCCTCCGTCTCTGCAGCTACGCCACGTTGGGATTTAAGTCTCTCTGCGGCCCCTTCTCTTCTCTGAAATGAAACAGTAATGTTTGTCAGCTCTGTTGCTTATTCCTTCAGATCAGTGTGTTGCCCCCACTGATGTTGGAGGGATCCTTTGACCCCTCTCATCTCATAGTGGGCTTTTTTGTGCAGCAAGTGGATGGAAATTGACACGCATACAAATACAAAGGAAACTAGAAGACCTCCACCAAGGATCTGGTCATTATGTTATCCTGCTACGGCGGCCCACAACATTTCCATCAGGAGAAATGCCCTGCAGCTTCAAAACGATGCAAATATAAAAACACAAATCTGACAAAACACATTGAATGAAGCAAATGAAGAAACACCAACATGATTCCTTCCAATATTATTGCAGATCTGCTGTCAGCTAGCTAGCTAACCTAGTAATATCAGAATGAATCATGTGAACACATTGTTCAAATAAGCCGATAACACTTGTATTTTAGGTACTTTTCCAACAACAGTGACAGTTGGCTAACGTCTTCAAGCACGCCAGTCTCAGCTGTGTGCGTCACTTTTTAGTGTCCCCTGGTTTTTAGCTTTTTGCAGCGTTTTGTTTTTGCAGTGCTTTTAATGAACTCATGCACATGTTTCGTCAAATAGGTGAATGTTTTGGCACATTTGTGTTTTTATATTTGCATTGTTTCTGAAGATGCAACACATTTTTCCTGATGGAAATGTTTTTGGGCCGCTGTAGCGCGGTTACACTTCTCACTGTATGTTGCACAATGATGCAGAGGAACCTTGGGGCAGCTTCAATTGAAATGGCTACTTGTCACTTGCAATGCTTTTTAGGGTTCTCAATCTGTGGAATAACTGACGTTTTTCTGTTATTATATGTTCTCTGTGGTTGCCATATTTCTGCAAAGAGCCCTTCACAACAGCTCATTGTAACCAGCAGACATAGGCTGTCCAGATTTGTGTGCCTTTCTTTGCTACTTCACTTTCTTGTTATTCAGTGAGAAAAAGATCTATTTCAGATGGTTTAAAGGCAGCTTAAGTCCAGATGTCTTGGTAACCTTTCTGAAAATCGATGTTAAATCTCTCTCTCCTTTATGTATCCCGGCCGGATGAATGGCTGTAGTTGCCATGACATGTTATAAAAAGCTCCTCTTTCCCTACAGGTGTGGTTCTACAACCAGGCCTGGCACGGCATGGCGTCCTTCCTCAGCGTGGCCAACAACGCCATCCTGAGGGGCAACCTGCCTGCAGGAACGGACCCCCGCAGCTACGGCATCTCCGTGTCCAACCACCCCCTCAACCTCACCAAGGCGCAGCTGTCCTACGTGGCCATGTGAGTCTCACACTCCAGGGAAAGAAGGGTTAAAGACTGGGCTAATACTCATGTGGCTAATACAGATAGTGTATTTCAGCACTTAGAACAGGGGTGCCCAACCTTTTTTGAACCGAGAGCTACTTTTAAAGTTGCCAGTCTGCCGAGATCGACCAGTCCAAATAGAGAGGCGTAGCCATTACTGACAGCCTACTACCAGGTAAATACACACTTCTACTTGTATAAAACTGACCTTTGTACGATTAATACTTCATAAAATACTGCAGATCCTTTATCTTACCTCTTTCTAATCTACACACATACAAGTATTTAACTGAAGTTACACAACAGTGTTGTTGATACAGAGTTGGAGTTTATTCACACGTCACAAACTACAGTGGGTAATGTTTTCAAGAAACATTGAACAGTGCTGCCACATATGACACAGGAAAAAAAGAAAAGACTCTGAACCCTTTCTTTGCCATTATATAAAAATAGTGTTGCTACAAAAGTATAAATTAGGCTTACTAATAAGAGAACTCAGATCTGAAGTTACACAGGAATCTGCTGCCAAAGTGCAATAAAAAAGACAAAATTAATAGAATCAAACCCTTTTTTTGTTGCATTTTAGTAGAGTATTAAAAAAAACGCCTTTAAAATAGGATGCAAGCAACACTAGTTTTTTAACCTGAATTGATAATAGACTATAATCAATTTAAGTTTGCATTATTATACCATTTTGTACAATAATTATAATGAATAAGTTCAAACAAACTAAAACTTACAGCTGATTAATAACGGTATCTAACTTGAGTTTTTATTATATCAAAAACCTGTTGAAATGCTACTGTTATTTTTACTGTCCCCAAAAAGCGCGTCGGCAGCCTCCAGGAATGTTTTTTTCACAACTTCGCCGTCTTTGAAAGACTTCATGTGTTTCGCAAGAACGTGACTGACACGATAAGATGCTATGGTAGCAGCCTGGCTCTTGTTGTTGGGCCTGGTGAAAAGTGACTGCTGTGCATTTAGCTGTCCTTTCAGGTCCCTCACCTTTTGGGAGCGTAGGGCAGAATTAGGAGGGAATTCCGTCTCGTAGCGGTTGTGCACTGTTTTGAAATGCCGCTCCTAAATTACCCTTCTTCGATAAAGCCACGCTCGCATTGCAGATGAGACAGATAGACTTTGAATTGGAATAGATACAAAAATAATCATCCTCCCACCCGGAGTGAAAATTATATATTTTCTGCTTTTTTGCTTCTGCCATAATTGCGGTCTTGTGTGTGTGCGGACTGTCACTCCTGTTGACACGGACAACGTCAGCTATAGTGCCCACTGCCCACCAGCCACGCCCGACACATGGGGTCACGCCGGCCAATCACAAAGCTTTGATGCGTTCAAGTCCATTATTCTGGCACAGGAAGACTATGTTATCGGACATTAACGATAAAACAGAATATTGTTGTTCTATTTTTAGACACATCTCGCGATCGACTGGGAATCTGGGCACCCCTGACTTAGAATATAACATTTAGCACTTTCTTCTCTTGCTGAGACACAGGATTTTAGATTTTCTGCAGGGAGTAACAAAGATGAGTAACAATAGACAAATACAAAATAGACAGATGCATAGCTAGTATTGTTTTGCACAGTATGCACAGATTTGGATGCCCCTGGGAGCCCTTAAAGAGGAGGATATACACTTTTCCTATCATGTTTTATCCTAGGAAGCAGCTCCACAGGATAGTCAGGGATTAACGACATGCTTGATCTCAACATATGGATCTATCTGCTCTGTGCGCATTTCATTTTGCAGCATTATCTGTCATTGATCTTGCATTTAGTCTATTGTGAGGTGGTGATCAACACTTCCCATCCCAATGCAGTAAACTCCTGACTTTATAAAGGCAGTCCAGCAGATGCTTCCAATCAGGAACAGTTTTATTCCACCCTGGTCAGGTATTTATGCAGTGACCAGGTGCTGCCGACAGCCTGAGTTAGAGAGGGGGGGGGTGCAGAGATAATTACGACGGCCTGCCTACAGTAGATCCAGGAGGAGCCTCCTCTTCCTCTCTGATTTACCAACTCCAGATTAAACCTGCACACCTCCTCACTGTTTAATAAGTGTGCAGGGCTCACACTCCTCCAGCAGAGGACTAAACAAGATGTAATCCACTTCAATATGTGTCATCGGAATAATCTATCTAATGACAATGTGTGAAAAAGGAGGAACCTCCTCTGCAGTGCCTCTCGTGTTGTTTTGTGATACTCCGAACAACCATTTTGACATTTTTCTTTTTGTGAGAAACACGTCTATTTCCAGCACAGACGATGCCAACAATATGGTAGTTTAACACCAGCAGCTAAAGACCCATTGCTAAAGAAAATAGTATTAATAAGATAAAATAAACCGTTTTTGAGCCCCTTTGGGAAATGCAGGTGTTTTAGCAGGTACAGTCAGTGGTAAAACATCTGCAGCAGCCTGGTGCACACGTTGAAGTTTAGCTCATACGTTTTTTTTGTCACTCTTTCTTCACCTTCTTTGCCTCTTTTGTCAACCGATGCTTTTTCTCCGTGTGGATTTGGCACAGTTACTCCAGCAGTTTTGCTACTTGGGAATAGCTTCTGTACGGTATTTTGTTGAGTTGCCTGGTAGCAAAATGCTCTCTGTATTGCAGTGTATATTTATTGTATTGTGAAAGGGAAACGTATCTCGCGGGCAGACAGATTTTCGGAGTTATAGCAACGATTTTTAACCAAGCTTAACACTGATGGTGTCATTATTTTGCAGACATTACATGCTGCAATCAGCATTTACTTCCTAACGATGCCTTTAAAGTAATCATCCCCAATAACAAAAAATCACATTTAAGGGAAAATCAGCCTTTACAAAGAACTGATGTCCTCCTTAATTGAGCTTTGAGCCGTTATGAGAAGGAGTCAATAAGTAATAATTGCACTGCAGCATTAGATTTGAAGAGACACTTTATTTTATTGCTCCTTGCAACCAATTCCAATGCAGGTGATGTCCTGAGCTATCAGATAGTGACGGTGTGCAGATGGAAGGAAAGGCAATATAACCGTTCCCTCACCCTCTGAAAATAATCTCAAATGTCAGTTTTTTGGCACAGTTTCATTACAGAGATACTCTGAATGTATTCGTTCCTAATTAGCTCAGGACTATCAATTTCTGCTCTGTTGAATTTTATATTTAATTTGATTTCTGATTGGTGTAAGCTGCCTGCAAAAACATCCCGTTTAAAAATCGTATCCTGCTGAATTAATTGTAATATGCTTAATATGCATTGTCTCCGTAATACAATGACAAGAGCTTCATATTTGATAATTATCTGCTGCTCTCAGCCCTCCTACACTCGTCTTTTAAAGTTAAAGGGGAGCAATAGAGCCCCCCCCCTTGCTCTTCTTTATTGCTCCTCCATTATTACTTAATTAGCAGATTGCTTGTCCTCTTTTCTTCACAGCAATTAGCTCCCAGCTTTCAGGGTTAGATCGCTCAAATTATCCCCCCCTCCAACACACAACCTGTTGGAACGTGGGCCACAGACCCCCCCCCCCCCCACTAAATGATTTCATATTTATGTCTTCTAATTGCGTCTGCTTGGCACTGATAAATACAGCCACACAGGGTGACTTACTTAATATGCTAATTACACAGCAGGGAGTCATGTGAGGGTGATGGTGGGGGTTAAAAGAAGACGCCACAGTTTTATCCAGTGATAATTATTAGCAGGCACAAATTAAGATATGTGACGGGGGGCAGGGGGAGTTCAGCGGTCCCTGAGGAGGGAGAGACACGATTTGTTTCTAACATGAAAAGAGGAGAGGGCTATCTACAAGATTTAGAAATCTTGTCTTCAGCTGTTAACCTTGCAAAATACTTTTTTAAAAGCTTTTTTCTTACATACAAACATTGTCTATCAAGCCATCAGTATTCAGACATGCCTGTAACATTAGCAATATATTGTAGGAAATGTTTTTTAGATTAAATGCATCCTCATACTGCAAAGTCATTTGTCTAATTTGTTCATTGCATTACAGGAAATGTCCCCCATGCCTTAAACGCTCTCTTTTGACTCCTTTGTTTGGCTAGCGGCTAGCGCTCCAACACATCGCACATGATAGGCTATGGGGCTGGAAATGAGCAGAATATTGCCCCTTTAATCACTTTCAATGGAGGCATAACAACACTTTAATTTATATTAAGTTAAAGTTCTGTATTTCCTAAAGATATCTCCTCCTGATAAAGAGCTCCTCAAAGTAGCGAGGTGACATACTTTATATAATATAAATGCAGTAAAAACCATATGATAATGGACCTGTGCTGTAATAAGAGCACTAATAATAAGTCAATGCACATTAAAAGAATTGCTAGATTATTTGATAAAGTTGAGGTGGTTTTTTTCAGCCTCTAAACTAAGAGATGTTCCGCTTCATTGTGTTTAATATCCTATTAAAGTGAATATCTTTGGGTAAAGATTATTGATATACCTTGGACTTTGAGAATGGAATTGTATTGAAATTGTTTCCTTTGTGTCTTTATCACGTCCAAAAATATATTTTCAGAGCCGAATTCACCATCTGTGTCCAAATCTTTACAGAAATGAGGTTCATGGACAGAGCTTTACCTCCTCTTCTCTTCTTCTACACACTTACATCCCTTTATCTACCTCTTGTTTGCTGTTCTCCTTCTCTATCAGGGCCACGGCTTCCACCGACGTGGTGGTGTCCATCTGCGTTATCTTCGCCATGTCCTTCATCCCGGCCAGCTTCATCCTCTTCCTCATCCAGGAGAGGGTGAACAAAGCCAAACATCTGCAGTTTGTCAGCGGAGTCAACCCCGCCGTGTACTGGCTGGCCAACTTCGCCTGGGACATGGTGAGGACGAGGACATAATTACCCTTTAAACACTTTTCTATAAAGCAATTTAAAGCCATAATAGTGCATACTATCAGCTAAAGTGTACATATACAATGCAAAGTGACATTTGTTTAATAAGCACATTTATAATGATGGAATTCGTCCTCCTTAATGTTACAAATTCCCTTTTGTTTCAAGGGGGATACTGAAACACCTGTGCAAGTTTGTCTGCAATAATCAGTTTCTACCTTATTTAAAATGTCTTTATAAACTTTATGATAACGTTATATAACTTAAAAAGAGTATTCTGATACGAACAAACAAGAAAAATCCCTCCAAAGCTCTCATTAATGCTGTGGCCTATTTACATGCTGAATAAAATCTAGGTAAATTATGATATAATGATAATTTGCCTCATAAACACTCAAGTTCCTGAGCCTCATTTCACCCCAGTGTTATATCTACTGTAGCCTCCCTCAGGCTGTATGTAAAGAACCCTCAGTCTGTAATTGATAACGCCGCTCTGACACCGGGGGCTTCTGGGAAATGTGAACAGAGCAGCGCTTATTGGCCAGGGCGTAATAATCGACAGCGCTGCCCCCGCCGGTTACCCTCTGCAGGCGTAATGGAAGTAAACACCTCTGGAGAAGAAATGGCATCATCATTATGGAGGATAAATAACGTCTGAGGGAGAGACAAATGTTCCTCAGAGCCAACCTGTAGCCCGCAGCGCTCTGCATTAACACACACGCAGATAAATAAATAAACATGCTTCATTATATCCTGATACTTTATCTATTCTCATCATTTATTCACCAGTGGAAAACACAGGGTTTGTTTGAAGCAGCCAGAGGGCATATTGAAAAAAATGTTTTTCTTTGCTAAAAATCATTGTTCAGAACAAGCGACCTCTCGTCCCGAGAGCAGTGGATATGTCTGATATTCACTGACTTCATTATGCAATTATGTACAAGTATTAAAAGCAAACACCTGTTTTCTGCGCCTGACGGGATATTTTCTTCTTTGCTTGTTTTTATTTGTTTTCCCGACAGTGTAACTACATCGTCCCGTGCTTGATCGTGATCGTGATCTTCCTCGGCTTCCAACAAAAAGCCTACGTTTCCCCCGCCAACCTTCCTGCTCTGATTCTGCTGCTCATAATGTATGGGTAAGTACATGGCCATGCAGCCTGGAACATTAGCCCTGCACATAGATCATCAAAGTATCCTCACTATTTACCAACAACTGATATTTACAAAAGAGAGGAGGGATACCTGCAGGCTGTGATTGGTTGTTCGGTGTCACATGACAGGCGGAGGATTGACGTTAGCCGTGCACAAAATGTATCATCTTCTCATCCAATTCAATCTGATATGTATGGGAGATAAACCCCACTAACCCATAGAGTTAAATGTAATTAATGTTTTTTGTGCCATTTATGACGTTGACTGATATTGCAGCTAACTCCGGTGTGTTGTGTCTTGCAGGTGGTCCATCACCCCCATGATGTACCCCGCCTCCTTCATCTTCAGCGTGCCCAGCACAGCGTACGTGGTGCTGACCTGCATCAACCTCTTTATCGGGATCAACGGCAGCATCGCCACCTTCGTCATGGAGCTCTTTGATGACGATGTAAGCTGCCCACACACACACACACACACTAAAATACACAGTCTCTGGGTAAAAAATTCATGAATTCACTGTTCTATCCCAGTTTCCTGTGAAGCAGCGGGGGTTAGACTCTTAATAAAACATGTATTTGGAATCTATAGCAGTAATTGACTTGAATGAAAGATAAACGAGTTTTGAAAGCACGTGGGAGGAGTGTGCACCTACCTTCTCTAACTTTTAATATATTTTCCTTTATCCTCTCAAGGATTTTTCAAAGGAGTTATTTTCCCTATTCTCTTTAATGTTTAATCGTTTGGTGGGAGTTCGGTCTTCGGAGAACTTTCCCTCACCCATCTTTCAGCGAGCGTTCATTTTAACTGCTTCAGTCTCCAGGGATAAAAGGACAAAGACACAAAAAGAAATCTGCATGAGAAATGGAGAGCCTGTCTGTCATTTTACTTTTGATTAGAATTTAAGTAACATTTCATAAAAATAAGTCTTCTCCCTCTAAACAGGTGCTTTTGGTTTCTGCAGCAAATATATTTAGTTTAATTTGACTTTATTGCTATTTGCCTGATTTGAAAACATGCAATTTTCTTCCGATCACTCCTTGTCTGCAGACTCATTGTCACTCACTCACATCGCTGTACATCAGAAAGAGGATTGTCCTCCTGCCGCACCCACCCTCCAGTCCGCCTCCACGTTTTCCTCTGGCGCCGCTCGCTGTGCTCGGGATGCTTCCTGTCTCCTAACGATGCTCCTCGTTAGCATCCTGATTCCATTTCCACAAACATTCATTACCAATTTGTATTTTCTCTCCTCTGCATTCACTTTATTTATCTGTGAGAGGAGCATATTACTCATAATTTAATGGACGGCATATGGCTCGGAGACAGATTTACGGCGTTCTGCTCTTGTCCGAAGCATTAGGGACAGAGATAGTGCTTCTCTCAGACTCTCGGGGACAGAGGTCTGCTGTAATTCTGATAATCTGACTTGATTTTACCGCTGATAGGGGTCCACATCCATCAGGAAATACTCAAGCTCTCCGTCTGTGCAGAGCCGATATCTCCAGGAAACAGCAGTATCTTCGACGGTGCCCCAGTAAGACAGGGAGAGGAGCCCCATAACCTGAATCCTCCTGCCTCAAAGCTTTCTCCCATCATCCTCTCAGCTTTCAGGGTGAATCCACATCCCTCGTGGGCATCGCTCCGTGTTTCCAAGACAGGAAGTGGAGCTGCAGCCTCAGAGTTGCTGACCCAGTTTTGTCTCCAGACTGAAGGGAGGTTTCCCCTGAGGAAGCTTGGCCCCTGTGAGGCATCAATCCCAGCATGCTTTGCAGTAGCAGAGGTGTGGCTTCCTATATACAGAAGTGGATTAAGTCCTAAGGTTTTACAAAATTATACATTGAAGCCTGATACAGGATAAATAATGTCAATTTAATGACGGGTCTCTCAATGTGTTGATACTCACTCAGTGTGAATCTGATATCCGGATATCCATATGTCACCACAACCTCTCCGGCCATCACTTAACTCTGCTGTCTTTAATTTACATGGTCATTATTACGTTACCTACTGCCAATGGAAAAGTCTTTAAATACTTAGCCAGCAGCTACATTGCAGGAACAGACACTCAGCAACCGGACAATTTCCCACGGCACACCTGACGATCTCTCACGGCAAAAATCACTGGTATAGAGAAGTTTAAGGAAGCATGAAATGGAAATACTCAAGTACCTCTATAGTGTTTGAGTACACTACTTTAGTAAATGTAGTGCCAATATAAAGTCCAGCATCCTGTGTTAGCAGAATGTTTAAAGGGGACACATTGTGCTCATTGATGTAAAACATGGATATGATCAGCAGGAAGTGGTGTGTGTTAGCCGTACATGGAGTGTGTGATCCGCAGCATTATAAATGAAGCTGAGCTGTGGGTATAAGCTCAAGTGGTGATGTGGGTCAGATAAGCGCCTCGCAGCCTCCGCCACCTTCAAAAGCATTTGAAAATGATTTATGGGAGCGGAGCACAAACGTAAGGAGGAAAATTGTGCAGTGTTTCATCATCCCCGACTAAGAGGCTCTTAGATCTGCGTGATGAACACCCAGTCAGAGGACGAGTGTTATTTCACGTATTCATCTCAAATTAGATCCCACTCTTTGCACTGTGTTCCGACACACACACCCAGACAAGGTCAGCGCTGTCTGTTGGTCTTTATCGCTGCGAGATCAGTGTTGAAGGTACACAACAGAGGAGCCTTCAACATATACAAAGACCTGAGTGTGTCTATTTGAATATTTACTGCACATCTGCTCAAAACCACAAGATACAAATATGGCTGGCATAAAATGCAAATATTAGGTACAGTTAGCCATTGTCATATCTAGGTATACATTCCCTCTGCTAGATGAAAGGTTGTTTTCATATTTAAATCCAGCTAGCTCACTGTAATGCAACAACCTGGTTCAAGAAATACACATTTAAATGAATGTTCCTAAATGCACCTCAGGTTCCTCTTAGCACTAGCTATTATCAGGATTAACACATTACTGTTAAATACTGTTTTATTTATTTGTTCTACCTACTTTTGTGTGTAAATACAACAATTAGTTACTTTCACTTTTTAACCAAGTGCCAGGCAACTATCAGAAAGTGAATTATACAGGATATATAACTTGTTAATTAGTGAACTGTGCAGGATGATGGATTTTAAATATGTTTCATGTATGTGTCTTTATGCTAAGCTAAGCAGCTTTTTTCTCTGACTTCATGGTTTAAGTTATTTCAATACTCTCATCTGACACTTTTCTTTAAAATAAGCACTTCTTTCAAAATGTTAAACTGATCACTTGACAAGCAGATGGATATCTAGTGAAAAAATATCTTTAAATGTGTCATTACAATTGTTTTTAATGCTCCACTGAAAGCTGCAGAAATCACAGATTCACGCATCATAAATAAATCCTGCCACAACAACAGAAGTGTATGTGGAAATTTGAACACAGCTTTAAAGAAAAAGAATGCCCCCGCCTCTTCTGTGCTCGACTTGCCCCAAAAACAGAAATGATGAATTTACTCTTCCTCCATGTTTGCAGCAGCTTTGAAGACGATGCTGCAATGAAGCAGTTTGCATAATGCATGAAGCTGCTTTTCGGCGTCATGCCGCGCCAAACCAAGTTATATTTTGTCTTCTGCATTTCCCTTCTTCCCTGATACTCTGTACTTCCTTTTCTGAGCAGATTTATAGCCCAGAACATTTGATTCATTATATATGTTGTGCTTTACTGGGCTGCCATTGCATCTGGTCCTCAGGGGGGAGGAAAGATCAAAATGTGGAGAGTAGTAGTCGGGAAACGTCCTGCTGAGATAAGATTTTTTACAACAACATGCTCCGGTTTTGTGTTTTTGTGTATCTGTGTCTTTGTTCCCAACACACACACACATCTGTATGTGTCTCCTTCATCTCCTTGCTAACATCTGCTCACCCTCCTCACTGTGTGCCCCCTCACTGATCACGTTAACATGAACCAAACTCCAGCAAAGCAAGGTGGATGAACTCCTGAGCTGTGAGTCCTCAGTGCAGCGTGCAGTTGAAGTGCAGCATGTTTAATTACCCACGCTGCACCACGCCTTCACGCCGCTGGCTCAACACATTATTGCACATAATTCCCAGCCCCTGTGAATATTTAAAGCTCATACCTGCATCTAATCTGTGTCTTGTTGTGTGTTTTTTTCCCCTATCAGAATGTGTCCCGCATCAACGACATCGTGAAGCAGGTGCTGCTCATCTTCCCTCACTTCTGTCTGGGGAGGGGGCTCATCGACATGGCCAAGAACCAGGCCATGGCCACGCTCTTCAGCAACTTCGGTGAGAGAAAGCATCTAAAAAACAATAATTATACATGCATTAGCCAAAACATGTAATTATCCATGTGGTCCTTCATGAAGAGATATGCAATTTGATCAAAAAGGACCAGAAACTCTGTGTTTATGTAAAACAAAAATGCTATTCTTTGCATCAGTGTTTACTTGCTAACCGTCAAAGGATCCAAAAGCATTGCTGTGTAATGGTGTGTAAACATTGTCAGAAAAGCCCATCATGTGATCGTGTGCATGCAGGGGAACAAACACAATTATGACATTGAGACACACCAATCGGCCACAGACTAAACAAATGACCTAATAAATGAGACCAACCCTCTGTATTATATAGTTTCTATTGTATCTGTTACTTCCCTTCTCTTGCTCCTAAGTCCTCACATGGTGTCTAAATAACACCCACAGTTTACCCTCAATATCTTCTTCATCTTCGAGTCCGTAGCAATCTCAGATGTCGTTCTGCCAGTATCCGGCACAGGCCACAGCTGATGGGGTAGGTTCTGCCAGGTCTTCTGGACTGCACCGGGGGGCATCGGCACATTCCAGTAGGTGGGACAATTGTCTGCACTGATCCACAGCTGCACGTGTCTTCTGTGGTGTAGTTCCACACTTTCATCAGTGCTTTGCACCTCCCCTGTTCCACACGCAGTCTATTAAGTGACTTCCAGGTTGTCCAGCCAAGGTCGTGGCCACTAGCGAGGCTTTCCGTTGGTGTGATTCCTCTGTCCAGCCATTCAAGAGCTCGTGTGTCATGTCTTTGCCATTCATCTACCCAGATGTTGGTCCTTGCTGCTTGTTTGGTTGTCTGGAGGGGCAGGACTGTCTGCACAAAACTGGCTCTGGATCGGAGCCTGCGTGGGGGTGCTACCCTCAATATAAAAAGTAGTAAAATAATTCTCCTCTCTCCAAAAACAACTTTATACCTCTTACCGGTATATTAAAACATGTATTTATAACCTCCATTTCCATTAAAGTGACACTATTATTCTTATTTAAAGTGGACCTATCATGCTATATTTGAATAATATAGTGTAGGACCATACCTATATAAGGCATATTTATACTTTTTTTTTTTCAAAATACCAAACAGATCATGCATTTTAGCCATGCCTCATTTTGCTCAATTTGACATTTTTTAGCTCTGTTTGTGTAAGGGCAGATAAGGGCAGAACAGCACCATCTACAGGCCTGGCATATGTACTACAGCGTCTCCAGCGCTTTCGAACGGCAATGGCCGTGGCTGTCTCCTCCTGATTGGTGGAGTTGGCCCAATAGCCGTAGCGCCACCGTCCTGACGTCAGGACAGTGTTCAAATCTGGATCAGTTTTTATCAGATCCGTTGCAGCCCCTTTTTTTTAGAGATTTGGGTATGGAGGAAAATAGAGAGGGTTGTGTTTTCTGACACTTGGTGAGTTCCCTGGAACACCGGGGACACATATTCATGTATAAAAGACGTACAAAAGTGCATTTTGCATGATAGGTCCCCTTTAAGATGCCAAACACCAGCAGGAGACATATTTGCGCAGTGACTCCTCCTGTGGGGCTTCATGTGTGAGGAGAGGGCCATCGAGAGGCAAAGTGGCCGATGAAAGAGGAAGAGGATGCTTATGTGTGGAGAGATGGAGCAGGAAATAGTGGCTTGAGGAATGATTTTTCAGTGGTGTTGGAGAGCAGGAAGAGAAAAGCAATCACGTCTGAAAGGCTGATGTGTGGAGAGGGCTATTTACCGGAGAATGAGAGTGAAAGCGCTTTTCCCGTCGACTTACTCTGCCCCTCGGGCTCCAGGGTTGAGAGTCTGAGAGAGAGGACAATGATTAGAGCTGAGACGTGAAAATTACAGGATATCAGTGAGCTCCTCACATCACATAGGTGACAGCTCTTCTTTATATGTTATTTTTAAGGCTAAGTGGCATTTTAAACTGCTGGCTTTCACTGGTGAAAATGTCTCGGGAACACTTCAAAGAGCTGACACATTCACAACTTTTCACTGAGACGTCTCTGGCTGCTTATGAAAGGCAACACACATCTAGAAGTGACAATGTCTCTGCTGAAACACTCTGAGTGTGCAGATAAGGGCTGGATTTTAAATGGAAATGACACACAGCGCTAATGCTTTTCATTATTCACACTCTTATGTGTTTGTTTTTTCAGGGGAGGACCGTTTCCAGGACCCGCTCAGTTGGGACATGGTGGGGAAGAATCTGTGCGCCATGTCCATCCAGGGAGCCGTCATGTTCACCGTCACCATCCTCATCCAGTACAAGTTCTTCTGCAAGCCCCGGTAAACAAATATGTCCACAGTCAAGACACTCAAGACTTTCATAAAAAATAAAAATAGGTTTATAACTGTTTGAAATCTTGTTTCCAAGAGTTTCAGACTAACATTTCAGAGCAGTCTGCTCCCTTTGGACTTTGATAAACTGGGATGGACTTTCGTCAATATTTTCTCACATTTTATACAAATGTAAAATAGAAAAGAATCTCCAAATTATTGCTAAATGAAAATAATCGTTATTTGCGTCAGTATTCCCCCTCTATTTTCCACATTAGTCATGTACTATTCATTTATTTTGTATAAAATAGCAGTTTGTCAAATACTCCCCATTTATTTATTTTTCTGTTTACTTGCTCTAAAAGCGAGGTTGCTATGGAAACTGTGGCTGGTCCTATTTATGAAAAATGGTTGAGATAGTTTCACTGAGTTTAATCTTTGACCGGGATAATTTGTGCGGTGGGTTCATGTTAATTTTAATGATGGGGTGTTCAGTAAACCACGCTGACTCCTTCTTCCCCTCTCGGTGTCAGGCTGGTTTCAGGGAAGTCTTTATCAGGGGAGGAGAAGGAGGACGTCGACGTGGCGCGGGAACGAGAGCGTGTGCACGGCGGCGGAGCGCAGAACGACCTGCTGAGGATCTGTGACCTCACCAAGGTAAACTGCTGCATCATTTGAAAAAGAGTCTTTGTTATTCAGTCCACTCTTTGTCATCAGAGGTGGATACATTGCTTTATTTTTCTTCAGGACGGTGACCTCTGTATGCATATCCTTAACGTCCTTCACCAATAACTCTTTGTAAATTTCCTTTCTTACTATTTTTTTCCCTCTACTCAGGCCTTATTTATTCTGTAGTAAGCTTTTTTTTGTATGTTTTGTGTGTGGGCAGCTGGAGTTTCTCCCTGTTGCACATGCATTATTCAGTTCAGACGTGGTGCAGCTGTGAACCTTCACAACCATCAGCAGTGAGCGTGAGAACAAACAGAGTGCATTCTGGGAGATTAGAGGTCTCTGCTCCTCTTGTAGCAGGTGAAGAGGAGCTGCAGACATTACTGTAGTTCTTCCTCTGTGGGCAGATGTTGCTCCCCGTGGGCAGCAGCTGGATGATCTTCTCGCCTCCTTCTTCATTCCTCTTCTTCTCCTCACTGACTGACTCCACACACCCTCAAGTAATTTATAAAGTGGTGTAAACTTCCCTTCACCTCCACAGCTGTAGAGATATTGGATTAGCTTTGATGCTGCTTCACACACATCTTACCTTTTTCTTTCCTAAGATGCGACACACACACACACACATCAGGATTCCTCACCCCACAGCTGTGGCCCATCCATTTGGGTGGAGATAACAGATTGATCAATGGGTGCGCTACTGACATAAATCTGAGCATGGCTCTGGAGCGATCGACAGGCCATCAATCATGTGTCATCGTCCCGCTCCTCCTCTTCCTCTCCCTGCAGCCGCTCACCTCTTAGCCGCTGAATTAGCGAGCGCTGTGTAATCGATGGAGGCGGTGATGGGAGTGTGTCCGTCTGCAGGGCCCGGGGCTGTCACTTTAACCTTCCCGTCACTCACTCACACACAGGAAGTTTTACAGAAGCTCTGACAGCCGTTTGACTTCAGACTAATGAGGGAAGAGTTGCACTTCATCTCAAAGTGTATCAAATAAAAATGTATTAAATGGTTTGCTCTTTACAAATTCAGATATCGGAAAAACTGTTGTTCAGTTTCTCAAAACACAAGGTAATATCTTAAATGTCTTGCATGTAAAAATAAAAAAAGCAAATAGAATAGAAAATTAAAGCAAGTTATAATATAATAAGACAGGTATAAAAAAACAAAAAGTCAAGTGCAAAAGAAACACATAACAAAAATTACTTTTATATACTTTTTTTAAATCAGACGTCAAAATGCAAACAGAATGCATATTAAAAAGAGTTAATATAGAATAAAAAAGGTATAAATTACAAAATAAAATAATTGAAGCTACAGCACAGTGTGTGATATAAATGGTTTTGGCAAAAAAAATATATTAAACCAATGCGAGTAAACATAGACACTTTAATTATCACTTTGTATTGCATTAACACATATTATTACTTAAACCACTTTTGCACAATTACCGTTGTTAAATGCCGTGAAATGTTGGAACTTGTCGCCGAATTTATTCACCTCGTACTGCTGAGTCATGAGTGCAAAGAATGGTCCGTGCATAGGTGACGCCTTGAGAAATAAAGCCGAGTCACTGTTTGCTACCTGAGCGTTTGAAGCTGAGTGTATATCTCTCAGCTGTCTGCTGTGATGATATGCTGATGTGACAGCTGCTGTGCGCTGCAGACTGAGGGGAGTTATCCTTTAATTGCCTCCTCCGCACGACTCTGTGCTGCTCTGATTTGGCGTTAGCATGGCACACTGTCACTAAGAGCAGTTTGTGTGATCCAGGTTGATGCCAGATGGCTCTGAGAGAGACATGGATCTCTGCTTTGATGTTCCGACTGTTGAAATAAATGCTGTGTCATTGTTTGTCAGGCTGCAGCAGCACTCTAAGATTCACATTTCCCTGGAAGCAATGCGGCTTTTTCCACTGAGAAACATGTGCTGTCACTTTTTTGGTTTAACGAACATTCAGTGACTCACAGCACTCATCTGAAATGTAATACAAATAACAAAAGCTCAGTGCTGTCCTTGGTTTACATTTTTTATGTTAAAATCATGGACAGCACTGAGCGCTTTATGACGATGTAGAGCGTTTGCACCTGTCGGCCACCGTAGGGACATCGTGCTTTCTATCTTAAGTCCTCCATGTTTATTAGCACTGGGGACATTGAATACAAGTCAAATGTGTGCTTGTTATTGAAGGTATTGTAGTGCTGACAGCTCTCCTCATGCTAATGTTCACTTCCTGTGCAATAGTCTCGTTTTTTTTTACAACCATTTCCCATCTGGCTCCCTCTAAATGTTGCAAATGATCTCTTCTTGTTAATTTCTCCGCCATCACTTTCTCTGCCTCCCTGCTTCTCTTCCCACCTGCTCCTTCCTCCCGTCATATTTCCTCCTGCTCTCCTCTCTGTTTCTCTGTCTGCTCTTCCTCCTCCTCCTCCTCCTCCTCTCGTTCTCTCTCTGGCTGGTTGATTCATTTCATCTCCTCCTCCCTGCAGGTGTATTCTCGGAGGAGCACCCCCGCTGTGGATCGGCTCTGTGTGGGTGTACCTGCTGCAGAGGTAAGCCAAATGCTGTGGGAGGACACACTCACACACACACATACGCACACACACACACACACACACACACACCCACACACACACACACACACACACACACACGCACACGCACACACGCACACGCACACACACACACACACACACACACACATTCTCAAGCTCACACACGGTTTGACCATGTTACAACACTCTATGTACATTTCCAGAGCATTCTGAAAAACTATTCCATTCTCTTTGTCTGTGAAATAGAATTCAGATATTAATTGACTAAACAAACAAACCAAATGAATATTAATGATAACATTTACACAATATTGACAGACGAGAGCAGAGGTTCTCTTTGATTACAGTTTGCAGTTATTCCTCTAATATTTAAATGTTGGCCTTTGCCTTTTCCTGAGTGGATTCAGAGCCTCTCCCAGAGCCTGCAGAGAGGAGGCGTTAGCAGCAACACTGATCCCCTTATCACCTCCTTCTCTGACACTATGCTGCAGAGTCTGAGAAGCTCAGAAATATGCCAATTACCACGGAGAAACTACATCAACCAAATACGGCAAAGTCAACTTTTACTAAACATTAACTTGACTGAAGTCAGGAGGAGTCTGATATAAATCATTCTTCTCCTGTGTTTATGACTTAAAACGGTTGAAAGCAGGTTATAACTAAATGTTTTGCTGGTGAAAACATTTCTTGTGTTTGTTGTTGTAATAATCATCACAGCCACAAGAGGCACTAAAGCACTACCTCATTGTCTTTTAACACTATTTGTAATTCCTTTATCCACTCTAATTCTATAGAACACACTACACTTGTGTTAATGTCGCATACACAAGTGAGAGAACTCTTTAAATCCTCAGAGATGTATATATATATTTTTAAACAATTTTCCCCTTGTTTCAAAATGTATTAACTCTTATATTATTCTGACATTTTTTCACGTGCAAAACGTTTTACCTAACCTGTTGAAATTTAAAAACGTAAGAGACTTGAAAAGTTTACAGTTTTCTCACTTGCATCTCACGGCATCGTGTTAAACAACATGTGTGTAAATGGATGGCCTGTCAGTGTGAAGCCTCCTCTCTCATTATAAGATATTTGACCACACACACTGGGGCTGGGTCTTGATGTAAACACGGTGTGAGATGCTGACAGCGGTCGTGCTCTCGGTCTCTGCGCTGGGATCCGTCCTGCCGGCCTCTGTTTGCTCAGCGTCAGTGTAAACCAAACGTAAATGCCAGAGGAAGATTGAGATTCACTGATCACACACTGCATCTGCTGCATGCATTATTTACATCAAGATCAGCCCTCTGCCAAGCATGCACAAGAGCAGGTCACAAATAAGCAGGGATCAGTGTGTGACAGGAATCAAGTATTCATGAGGAGGGTCACATGATGCCGAGAGGAAGTAAAATCATCCTCAGATGAGTTTGTAGAGAAGAAGCGCTGTGGGCTTTTACTCTGTTTGCCCCTGTGTGGCTGCTTTGTTGATTCAGTGTGTGTTGTTGTATTTGTTATTTTTGCTAAACACAGACCCAGTCATGCATACAAACCGTAGTTTCAATTATACTGCACGCTGGGAACAAACATGTACACCGGATAAACTTCATTATTGGGGTTTTGAAAGGAAGGAAAACATCATATTTGAAATGTCACACGGCATTAGCGCCTGCTGAGTTTCTAACGGAGGCCTTCCCGTTTCTCCGGCAGTGTTTCGGCTTGCTGGGAATCAACGGGGCCGGGAAGACCACCACCTTCAAGATGCTGACAGGAGACATCCCCGTCTCCGGAGGGGAGGCTTTCCTAAACGGGTACAGGTGAGGATGAGTCCCTAAGAGCGGAGAAACTCGTCATGATTAGCCACCCAACATGGAGAAGGAGCTCAGCTGTTTTTAGCTCGCACTCAGCTTTCTATTCCACCATCAGGTTGAGTTTTTTTTCTGCCCACTTTTCAACTGTGCTCCTCTCATGTTGTCTCCTCGCTGTGATATTCTCTGTTCCTCACATATTTCATTCCTTTTCACATCCTCGCACTGCACTGTGCTGTTTTTGTCTCTGCCTTACAGAATCAGTCAGAGGAAACGTCTGTACATGCCAAAAAAAAACACCTGAGCTTTTGAGCAAAAGCTGGCTTTCTCTCCTTTATTTTTAGGAACAAACCTCCTCCACACTCTGCGCTGGTGGATTTTGGTCGCAAACGCTTCATTTGTTCATTTCTACATGTGGTTATTGAGTGAGGTCTAACACAGAACTGCTAATGTTTATAAATGTGAGGATCAGAGAGAAATCCCAGAAGCCTTCAGGGGAAACAACACCTGAAAAGAGTTCTGTCCCGCTCTGTATGCAGCACGTTATGTGTTCTGTGTATTGGAAGAGGAGTTATGGGCAGCAGAGAAGAAGAGGAGGTACATCTGCAGCTCTTTTATAATGCTTCAGAACCAGAAGCTAGTGTGCTAACAGCAGCAGCGACTCGTTGTAGAAGAAATGGATTTTAAAACGACTTGAATAGGCATGAACACATTTACAACAAAAACAATTATTTGAGGAATAGGTCAGTTTGTGGAAGATGCACGTTCTCCTCCATTGTTAGAGAAGAAGATGCATGTGTCATGTCCACACGCTAAATATGAAGAAGGCTCGGTACCAGAACAAACCCCAATTATCTGCGATTATTGATTCTTGATAAATCACATTTCAGCCGAGGAAAAGTCCCTTCTCTGCTTGTACCGCTGCCGGGATGTTGAGCACATTTGACATGCTATCATGCTATGTGTTAGGCAAACAAATACTTCTGTCGGCTGATGTTTCTTAATATAAGCCAAGTTAGATGTCATAACACAAGTAGAGATGGCGGTTCTCTGCGGCATAGTTCAAATCACATTCAGCTCTCAGACTCAATATCTCTCCTGGAAATTACCATTTTGGGAACATAAATATGTCTAAATTTAACAGGGCAACTTTCAAACGAAGAAAGTAAATCAGCGGTAACATTTGCCTGCAGAGGGGGGAGTGCATTATTGCAGGATGTGGAAAGGTGCATGTCTGTACAAAGACATATTAGGCTCTTGTAGGTTAAAGATGACAAGGTGTTCTCCTCATCACAGACACAATGTGTATGTTACTGAGGACGCGCAGTAGTACGAGCATTGAGATGTCCTTCATCATGAACACCTCATCCAAATCACTATTATGCTTTATTTCTCAAAGCGTCTCTTCAGATCCCAGATGCTAACTGTAATAAGCTGATTCTGTAAACCCCTGCACAGTAGGGATGTGCATCTCCATCACTGAGGCCGATACGATGCGCATCTCGATACGTTGCCTACGATACATTAACGATACATTTGAAACACCAGGCGGTGCGATACGATACGATTCACCCCTGTTGCGATACAGTTCGATACGATTTGATTCAACATTATGCGATTCGGGGCGATACGATGCGATTCAACACGATGCAAAATAATGATACTTCAATATGGTACGACAGAGGATTTTGTTGTATTCCTTATATGCAGCAAATCATACATTAACAAAAAGGTGCTTTACATATTTGGTTCTCTCTACTAGTACTGCACATCCCATCATGCTGTTTCTTTTTTACCTTTTTTACCTTCAAAAACTCTCCAGAGTACAGTACAATTGTATAACACCTCACAGTTAAACAATTTAAGGATGCATTGACCATGATTAACAATGTGCAAATAACAACTACCATAGTGCAATGCCCATACAACTGCCAGCCTGATGTGCTTAACACTCATTCATAGGCTAACTCACCAGTGAGCAGAAAGCAGTGGTTTCTATATGAACAATAACAAATACAAATAACCTTTCACAAACAGGTATTTCATAACTGCTTACAGTAAGGAAGACATTTAAACTATTATTTGCAGTCACAGTCTGCTGTATACTAAACACCACTCTCTCTGACATTACACCTCACTGAGTGATTGAACTCATATGTCTTACTTTCAGGTTTCTCTTTTCAGCCGCAGACCCCATGTTGCCTCTATGTGCGTCGCTAAGTTCCTCGTACTACTTGTGTACTTTAAAGCGGCACGGCATCGTTTACAATTTGCGAGCGATTTTTCAAGTTGTCTGTCTTTCTTGAAAAATCCGAATTGTTGCCAAACGTTTGATTTGTAGGTATTTTTCGGTGCGCTGTGTATCTCTTTCTCCTCGACTTCCATGTTTGTTGATAACTGAGACTCTCGGCCTCCGTAGTGCGGAGCAAAGATCGTCTCTGCTGAGTGCTGACAGGATGAGAGGATATTATATGAATGAATCGGTTTTTTACCGATGCAAAGACGCTACAATTGATGCATCGCGAGTTCAACCCAAACTGTAGCCGATGTGCACACTTTCAACCGGTGCACTCGCATCTTGAACGTTTATGCCGGTGCACCGATGTGAATCGGTGAATCTTAACATCCCTACTGCACAGGCACTTTACTCTTTTTATTATTTCACCTTCTATGATCCTAACACGCTGTTATTTGACCTTCCTCTAGATGATGCATGTTGGTGTTAAAATAAACATGTAATCTGTCCTACAGCATCCGGACGGAGATGAGGGACGTGCATCAGAACCTGGGATACTGTCCTCAGTTTGACGCCATCGACGAGCTGCTGACGGGGCGCGAGCACCTGGAGTTTTACGCCCGGTTACGAGGAGTCCCAGAGAAAGAGGTCGCAAAGGTAAATAGCCAATATCAATTAGTTGTGAAGCTCTTATAAATACCCTCCAATGTTCTAAAACTTCAATATGTTAATTTACTGTCCAGATGTTTTTTTTCTAGTCAAAGCTGTGAGACACTTAGCATTGAGCAGGCACATATCAGTTATATTTTTACTATAAGAATACTTGAAGTGTACTTATGCAGGGTGATGTGGGGGTGATGGATGACCTCAGAGCGAGCAGCCTTACATAATGAAGCTGTCCGCTGGTGCAGAGCAGCAGCTGAGGGTCACTCTGCATTATTCACTGTTCTGCTACTGAGGCCCTGTGCACGCTCTGCAGAGAGGAGATGAAACGAGGAAGAGGCTGGGGGGCCGGGGCGGCCCTCAGACCGGAGCCAGAGCTTTGATATCTTCACAGCACAGGGATCCACTTCCTCTTGTGGCTGGGGCACCTGTGTTGTGCCTTTTTGGGCAACAATTCTGGATGCAAATGCAGCCTTTTGTGTATTGTTAGTGCATAAAGCACGTGCCTCAGGCTGCATTTTTAACTCCCTAACATGGACAGCAGGCAGTCTACACATCTTCGTCTTGGACCAACAAAAAAAACATACAAAATAAATTGTAGTACATTTTTAGTCAGATTTGAACTGTCCTGAATGATGCACAAAGGTTAAAAAGGAAAGCCTGTCATTGTTACAGTAGAAATTCAGAACTTCATGCATCATGTAAAATGGGATATTGTGGTTTATTTGAACTCTTTTCACTTTATATGTTCTCTAAAGGTGGCAGAGTGGGGGGTGCAGAAGCTGGGGCTGGTGAAATACTCCAACAAGTCTGCAGGGACGTACAGCGGCGGGAACAAACGCAAACTGTCCACCGCCATCGCGCTCATCGGCTGCCCTCCTGTCGTCTTCCTGGTGAGAGACGCTGTGTAAATGTCTGTGTGTGGTTGGAAATGATGCGCTGCTGTTCCATTATAAGACTTAGCAGTGTAATGCTTTAAATCAATATTGATGCGTGTGGATGTTTGGATTACAGTGTTGTTTCTCTGAACAAGCACACAGACTCAAATTCAAAAATTAGTAGAAAAACAAGTTTTGGATCACTGCAGGAATACTGAGTTCCCTATTGAATTGTGCATAACATGTGGATGAAAAGGCGTTTTATTTCAAGCTCTGGTCATGCTTGAATTGTATCTCCTCAAGAGAGAACCAATTGGAAGTTTGCACGTTTTAAATTCCCCTTAATCAGTTATTATATTCCTATTCATCAGGACTTAAAAGTAAGCCCATTCCTCACTAATGGAAGATTAATGGAGGCATGACTCAGCATTAAATGCATCACATGGTTTAATGAACTACTTAAATGTGCATTAGGGAGTTGTCTGTGTTATTATGAGGGACAAACTCAAATTATCACACTGAGCAAAGTATACATTTCATTACGATTATTAAGAGTTTTTTTTATTAAATAACATATCTCATCTCACTTCATACCAGCACATATCTTGAACAATGTGCAACAAAAACTATTCCTTAGCATCATTTAAAGCAATGCATTAGATGCTAATTATAATTTTCTGCATGTAATAATTAATGTATAATAAATAAATAAAAATCCAGAATAATCTCTCCCTCCATGTTCGTTTCCTGGCTCTGCACACGTCCAGATCCTCTTCTGTTTCCTCTCTCTGAGGCGGGGGGTTAATGTGTGTCACTCTCCGTATTGTGTCTCACACACACAGACACACACTCTGGGCACACACACTGGGCAAACATGTAGATACCCTGTAGGATGTGCTGTGAGGCCTGGAACCAGACGATGGAGTGAGTACTGACAGTCTGTAATCATGTACAGACAGACCAGCCCTGAGGAGAGAGTGTGTGTGTCTCTCTGTGTGTGAGAGTGTGTGACTTGTATTTCCCTCTATATTGACAAACAAGCAGTCCTACATCGTCAGCAGAAGCCTCTATTAGACAGATTGAACTCTTCGAAACATTTCCTTTTCTTCATTATCTTTTGATTTTTTCTGTCAGTCCAGATACCCCATGCTGTGGTAATTGCTAAATGTTGAATGATTGCTTAAGCAATAGCTCACGACAGGCCGTAGTATATGGTCATTATATCACAGTTAAGGGGGCGTGGTCGACAACCCACTTAGCTGTGATATAATGAGCATATATCACGGCCTGAAGTGAGCTATTGCTTTTATAAAACGGTTACCAAGTGTGGCAATATGAAAGAAAAATACACACTCTAATTTAAATAGTTTGTATTAGTAAATAATGATGTTCAGAATAAAATAGTCCCTCTGTTGCCTTCTGCACAAAACATAGTGCGAGGTGGTTGCTATGCAACAACACTAACAGCTAGTGAACATATTAGACAGAGAGCGTTGATCAATTATTTGGCTATTTATTTACATTAATTTGAATGTTGCCGTTTATTGTGCACCCACTGAAAAACTGTCCAGCATCAGTAGCATGGCTTACGTGGTTACTTGTATAGGTTGAGGTTGTTCTAGGCTGTTGCTTGGCGTGGCGAGAATATTGCTCCACTTTCTCCGGTCCCCGAGATTCGGCTTCCAGTAGCTCTGGAGAGAGCTTTCGCACCTGTGGCCACTAACGGTCATCATTTCTCTGCTTTGTTCCAAGAACCGCATCAGAAAGCTTTTGAATGGTGGTACTTTTCCAGTTGGTCTACCTGCTCTTCACGTAGCTCTACATGTCGTCGTTTAGGTGCATTTTTTTCTGGAGTTAGGCACTGCTCAATCCACTCCTCCATAGTAAGGCCACCCCGGAGGTCGAAGTTAAGTAAGGGATAATGTGCAGCGAGGCAGTCATTATGGGTAAAAGAACAACCGACAGGCAGATCAAAAATAGTCTGTTGTTACTGTTTGAATTACGTAGCAACGGTAGGAACTGCTTCGATAGCGTTTTTGCGGACCTTTTTGATTACAGATTTGAAAACATCGTTGCTTGCTTTAAAAGTAGCACAATTCATTATGTCAAACCTTGGAAAGTATCTAGATATCCCTGCCCTAATGCCAAAGTAACTGGCAACTGAATATGTTTTGCTGTTTGATGTCTATGTCTGGACCGTTGCGTAAAAAGGAGGGTTTCTGCCCCGTTACTTCTCCGCTGTTTTCTTGTCCCAGTTTGAAAAGCAAACTGCATGCAAGGTAATGTAACAGTTGTAACGGTTGTAGCTTTTCTCAGACGCGGAGGGATACTGACTTGTTGTGAAAAGTAACTACAATTCTACCCGTGATATACGCTCATTATATCACGGCTAAGAACCAATCAGATTGCTTGATTTGACTTGTCCGTTTTATAATTGTTATTATAAACTTGAATTTATTTGATTTTACATTATTGTCATTGCGCAGCGTAGAAGCACTGGAAAAATGTAGTTAGCATACCAACCAGAAGTGCATGAGAAGCATTAAGTTGCTGTGTAATGTAGAGGTATAATATAAGTATATAAATGACACATTACAGTATGAACAATATTAAAAGTTATAAACATTAAGAACTTTAGTTTAAATTATGAACCTACAATAGAAATACTTTTTTCGGTATTTCTTTATTTCTAAGAAATGTATTATATCTTTCTTATATAATGTTTAATTTTTATTTTGTCATTTACTTTTTAATAACTTATTTATATTTTTTTTGATTCACTTATTTTCATTTATTTATTTGTTTGTTTATTTTTATTTTCTTATTTGTTCATTTATTTAGCAATAAATATTGAAAAACATTTTAATTTAAATAGCTTTTCTAAGCATACAAACGCACTTTACAAAAAATATGTTTTCCTTAAATTAAATTATGCGAATGTGTCACAAATCTGAATGTCAACAATGAATTGTTCACAGTAGATTATTGCTGTTAGTGGTATAAATACATTGTGTTTTCCTTTAGGACGAGCCCACCACAGGCATGGACCCTAAGGCCCGGCGCTTCCTGTGGGACTGCATCCTGAGCGTCATCAAGGAGGGACGCTCCGTCATCCTGACCTCTCACAGGTGCAGCAGCACATCCATTTCCTCTCATGTACACACTTCAACATGAAAATATTGACTTTCTTCCCCAGGATAGCAGAGCTGCACGAGCGTAATTGTAATTGATTGGCGCTCCTCTTTTAGTTGTGAGGAATTGTTAAAAGCGTGGCCGTTAAATCAACAGCGACACACCGACTGCTGTGAAGCTTTCATGAGGCCGTGTTGACCGACTGCCGTGAAAACAGAAACTGTCGATATCTTTTCAGCACTTCCTGCAGCTACTTTTTCTCCTGTCATTCTGAGTGAGGAGAAGATTAAACGTCTAATCTTTTTTGGACGTTGACGTGGATATGGAACATTTCACATGCCTATTCATTTCACCATTTCCCAAATCGCCTGAATCATTTGCGCCCCTGCTGCAGGAATACATTAGGCTCATTACATGTTGTTCTCCCTTCATGGAGGAGTAAAAGCATTTGTTGTATGTGAGGCGGTGTGGCTTAGCGGCGTCCAATGGGCCGTGGCGTCACCAGGTGCCGGTGTTTTGTTAAGAGGCACTTCACAACCTTTTACAAAGTCATAATCCTAATTACACAATCCCTCAGAAAGGTGTTACCTCTACTTCAAACACTGCTGCAGCCAGAGGAAAATAAGAAGTGCATATGGTCCCACCTTCATATTAAGTCTAAGGTGTTAAAGTAGACATGCCAAAATGCTCTTTTTATTTTTACCTTTTTATAACCAGGAGACAGTCTCATTAAAATTGTTTAGAAGTGACACAATTAGTTGTCCCACTTTGTTGAGGCTCCTTAAGAAGCAAGTTCAAATAAACTGAATACAGTTTACTGAGTCATTTAAAAGGGCCTGCACAGACATGGAGGTGGCAGCAATAAGTCGCCCATCGTTGGGTGCCAAATATGTCCTGGAGGAAAAACACAACTCTCATACTAAGATGAAAGCGGACAGGTGGATTCACAGGATTTATTCATTACATATACTCATTGCAGGTCAACAATAAAAGTCCTGCCACTACTTGTTCCGGTCTTCTTTTATAGCCTTCACATTAGCTTCTGTTCCTGTGCTATTTTTAAATATGGTATATACTGGTATCTGGGTCACAGTGACATTTTCCTATTATAGTCCTACAGGTGCAATTTCCTCTGGTGTTAATACTGCTTCTTATTCCTGCTTTCCCCATCAGCATGGAGGAGTGTGAAGCTCTCTGCACCCGCATGGCCATCATGGTCAACGGTGCCTTCAAGTGCCTCGGGAGCATCCAGCATCTGAAGAGCAGGTGAGCCTCGTCTTCTTCTTCTTAAACGCACCAAAAAAAACTATAAAGCTCCTGAAACTGAGATGAAAGAAATCTGTGTCTCCTTCTGATCTGAATCTGAAAATTATCTAGCAACTAATGTTGTCAGTATATTTCAAGTAAAGAGTTTGTGCCAAAAGTTTTTAGTTTTAGTGAAACCTCAGTTAACCTCCACATTTTAAACTAAAAGTATAAACTTTACTTAAAGGGGACCTATCATGCAAAATGCACTTTTGTACGTCTTTTCTACATGAATATGTGTCCCCGGTGTTCCAGGGAACTCACCAAGTGTCAGAAAACACAACCCTCTCTCTTTTCCTCCATACCCAAATCTCTAAAAACGGGGCTGCAACGGATCTGATAAAAACTGATCCAGATTTGAATTATTTTCTACGTCACAAAAGTGGTGCTCCGCTTAGTGGTAAATTCTCCACCTACATATGCCAGGCCTGTAAGTGGCGCTGTAGTCTGCCACAAAAGCAGCGAAGAAGACTTCCCTTGCATGGTTGCCATGGTTGCCCTTCTGTTTATTCTCCGCTGTGGCTCTTTTTCTCCCTCCCCGAGGCAAGCGCTTGTGCCTCCTGCTGCTGAAATTCAATGCAATCCCTCCCCGTCGAGGCAAGCACTGTAATTCTCTCCGGTTAGTCCACCAGCAGATGACAAACACCCACCTCTCCGCCTCTTCCAAGGAACGAGGGGACCGTGCGGCAGAGTTTCAGTTAGATTTTTTTTCGCCGGTCAACATGTCCGTTAAAGTTGAAATCTTCCTGACAAAATTAGAAAAGTGCCGGTCAAAGGTCTTCTTTGTTATTTATTGAGCTTTAAAACAAATGAATAATGACTCTATATAATAATATATGAATAAAACACGGAGGACGGAGATCTCTTTTTCTCCCCCTCTTCTGACAGCCCAGCAGCTGATCTCAGAGCACGCTCCCCTCTCCTGCAGGGGGGCGTGGTCAGCTGCAGCTCACAGAATCAGCCCCCTGCAAAAACAGGGCTGGAAAGAGCAAATAGAGCGAAATGAGGCATGGCTAAAATGCAGGATCTGTTTGGTATTTTGAAAAAAAAACTATATTTATATACTTTATATAGGTATGGCCCTACAATATATTGTTCAAATATAGCATGATATGTCCCCTTTAAAGTACCAAATGTTACACATTCATTACGCAAAATATCACATACAATATTGTTATACTAGTTTTCCTGATGCATCAGTGTTCATCACTTTAATATTGCAGCTGGTAAAGGTGGTGAATATGTTTTATTATATAATAATTTTTTGAATAAAAATTGAATAAATAATCTTAATCTGAAAAGTACTTAGTAACTAATGCTGTCAGTATATTTAGTGTAGCCTAACGTAAATATATCCCAGTAAGCATAGTGGAGTAATAAGTAAATACTCAAGTCAAAGTACATGTATATAGATGCTATGTAATAGTTTCTCATTCATTAGTGTAATGTGTTAGATAACCCACAAACATGTATGCAGCATCATAATTCCCGCAGACTCACCATGAGGTATTGATTTCACATCCATATCTCCATTATCTCTGTTCCACATGTTTCTGCACACATATACATCCTTATCCATTAGCCCCCCCTCCTCCCTTTAATAGTCTGCATGTACGTATCTTACACACACATTCTGATATTCATCTGACATTTCAGCACTTCCGCCCCCAGCCCAGTGTGACACACAGAGCACTTCCATTACCTTAGGTACAGTCTGCTGACATTATCACACACTCACTCACACACACACACACACACACACACACACACACACACACACACACACACACACACACACACACACACACACACACACACACACACACACACACACACACACACACACACACACACGGTTGCACAGAACATCAATACTCCTGGAGCATTTCTATATACCAAGCAACTTAGTACTCATTATCCAGAATGGACATTTTACTTACATTGTTCTTATTTCTCCAACTTATTTTTTAATTTAATTAAATACAACATTTATATACTCTTTTATTTGCACTGTAACTGCGCTTTTTGGGGGGATTTTGATTTATTTTAGGGTCAAAGCTTCATGACAAAACCTCAATATAAAATGTAAACATGAAAAAGTGTGACATCGATGTAGCGCCTCCTGGATGTTTGAGTCAACAACAAATCCTCATTGACGCCTGTGTGCAGGGTGGTGTAAATCCTGTATGGATGAGGAGGTGTAGGAGGAGTGTGAGTGAGTGAGGGTTAACACATATCCCCCTCCTCTCTACATGCGATCAGGTATCAGAGCCTCACACCTCACCTTAGTGAGGAGCAGATAACCCTGACGTCTCACACTCAGGATTAACACGCCGCTGACTCTCCTCTCGTCGCGGCGCGGTGAATAATGTCTAATTAGGTGTCCCTATCTCCTCCTCTGCGCGCTGTAATTAATGTTTCATGAGGTGTGGGACCCTGTTAATGACTGAAAAGGCAATTAGGGTGCGTCTCCTCTGTTTTCTTTTCCCGTCACTATCCTTCCACATGTTTGTTCTGCAAAGACACGTGATCCATAAAGCATTCTGTATGTCGTTGTGAGGAAAACACCAAGCTTCCAGTATTTTTTCTGATTCATGCACATGCTTCCTGGATGGAAAGACTTCCATCACACCGCAGGGGGTTTGAGGGGGTTGCATGGCGATGGAGGCAGGTGGTTGTCACACAATGTGAGCCTTTGACCTGCAACGCTGGAGGTGCAGCTTCCTCCCCCAATGTCTCTTATCTCTTTTTCATCACAAGCCTCTGAAAGCACCACGGGGCGTCTGCTCTTCCATCTTGACCCCCTATTGCTCATCCTCCTCTTCTTCACTTCCTGCCTCCATGCAAGTGCTTGTTAGTGCTGCCCCCTTTAGTCCACAGCTGACGTATCAATCAACCCCAAATGAGTGTAAATATCCCCTTAAAGAGAGAAGCCCCTTCATTGTCCTCCTGTGTTAATAACATCCTCATACTGAGACCCTCACATGAATTTATGAGCGTCTGACAGAGAAGGGGAGATGAATGAGTGAGGATGTGCAGAGGCTGTAAACAGTGCTTTAGTGCAGCGGTGTCCCAGGTGTTAAGTAAAGCCAAATGAAGTGCAGGCTCCAATAAAAGCAGCTCCTGTATAATCTGTCAGAGAGGCCACCGCCAGCGAAGCAGGATTTTCTCCCTGATTGATATCATTCATATCCCCTCCTCATAGCTCCTGCCGTAAGTACACAGCCCCGCAGTCTTCTTTCCTCCTCCATGATATAAAAGTGGAGGCTAAAGTGCCTTTAATGCATTAAGGTAATGCGGTGTGGGAGTTTTTTTTACAAGAGCGGCGGCGTCTGAAAAGTTTGGATCAATCCTCTGAAGTTGAGTCCAATAAAGTCCCCCCCACTCACTCTGCAGGTGTGCCATTAACTGAACAGTTTACAGCTTTTGAGTGCGTGTCACCGGCGGAGATGGATGACAAAATAATTATCTTTAGGCTGCAGATGCATCAGCCACGCAGCTGTAATTAAGACAGACACAGAGGGTGTGTACTGTACAGATCCTCCAAAGCGTCTTCCACAGGATTCATAGACATTATTCCATCAGAGTTTATTCCACATCCGGTGCCTCAAGGTCTGCACAGATTGCTTCATGGCTGCAGGCTTTTTATAGGGTGAACTTTGCATGTTTGAAAATCCTGTCACAGGCAGCATGGTGTCCTTCATGTGAGATTGCTTTTGAAATTGCATTAAAAAGCTTGTAAATAGCGAGGACTATGGCTTAGGACGGATTTAAAGTTTTCTTTGAACTCAATAAGGTCCCTTTTCCAGTTTCTTTTGAACTATTAGTGGTGCAAATCTACTATTTTCCACCGTTTTTTATGGATTACTTCCTGTCTGATCACAAATTGAGGTTGTGCAGCGGTGATGTGACCTTTCTGAGAGGAAGGAAGCTGCAGAATTATTTTGAGCCTGTCGTGCCCTTATCTGTGTCTGGCCTTGTTTGTTTTAAATGACATGGAAGAAGGATAGAGCAGAGGGGAATAAAGGAGAGAGGGCGTTACAGTGGGGAGCTGATGGATTATATCTTAACAATGTGGTGCTGAATACATAATTTTCCCCAATGCACGGATTGCAAAGATGTTCCTTTCAGTTTAAGAATCTGCAGTTAAAAGATGATGAATTGTTTCAAGATCTCTTATCTGAGGAGAGCAGAGACATCGGATCTACTGTCTTGAATGCACAGTCAAAATGGTGAATACTGTATGAAGAAATATCTTTTTCCTGCAGACAGAGAAAGAAGAGGAAGAATGAGAGGAAGGTAATTGATAAAAAGCCACAATTCATTCTGCCCTTATTGGATGCATTTGTGTGAGCCTTCAGTCCTTGGGAAAGGCAGCTGTAATGAACACAGGGGGATTACAGTCCTGATTGGAGGATGAATTAGTCTCCATGTGCTGTCTGATTACACTCTGCTGCATCTTATAACATCATCTCTAGATTATACAGCTTCACACTGACACCGGTGCTGCAGCTTTAGCAAGTATAAATAATGTTGGAAGAAGATGGTGCGTGTGCAAACCTCAGCAAATCATGACTTACTGTAGTTTATTTGCAATATTTGGCGAGATCTGGGAAAGACATATTGAGAAAAGCAAATGTTTTTGTTCTTAGTTAGTCACGATTTTCTCTCATTTGCCCGTTGTTGTTTTTGTTGAAGGTTGCCTTTGAATCTTTGCAGTGTTTTTATTTTAAAGAGACCCTATTCTGCTCATTTTAAGGTTCATATGAGTACATTGTGCCTACTGGGACATGTTTCCATGCTTTAATGTTCAAAAAGCTCTTTATTTTGCTCATACTGCCTGTGCTGCAGCACCTCTTTTCACCCTCTGTCTGAAACCAGAGCCCAGTCTGCTCTGATTGGTTAGCTGGCCGGCTCTGTTGTGATTGGTCAACCCATTCGAGCTGTCCCTCCCTTTAGCCTATCATGTGTTGGAGGTGTTTCAAGGCCTCTTTAAACTAGAAGGGCACTCGGGAGCACAGACCTCTGTAAAGGCAGTTTCTTAAGTGAAACATCATTTGATATAGCAAGATATTCACACCTGTGTGTCTGGGGACATATTCCTTTTACTTGTTAGCCCTCAGAGGACTGTTCTGCACCTAACAAAGATATTTTGGGCTCAAATTGCGGAAGCGGATTTGTGAGAGACATTTGAGGTGATTTTGCTCCTCAATGAGATAGATGTGCATGTTTTCTCCAGCTCAAAGTGACCAAGCGTACATTTTACCTTCACAATCCTTTATGTATAATACCCTTGATCATTTGTGTCCTGTGATGTGGTTTTTTTGGAGAATATGAATGGTAATTATATTAGTATGTGCTGGATATAACAAATGAAAGAGTCTGGAGGAGATACGACGGTTTAAATTATTTAGTACATGTTTGAGAGCCCTATCCCTCTGATGGGCATGATAATCCTGCTTTTATATTTGCACTTGATACACTGCACAAAAGCAGAGTCTCTGACAGAGAGGTGTAGCAGGGCTCCGGTCATTGTGAGTGTAATTTGTGATGGTTGAAGTGCGGCTGCTTAATGAAGCGCTGTTGTGATGTGCACTAAATAACTTCACCTAGGGGTGCTTTGGGTCCCCGAAGGCGCTCTGTGCAGCAGGAGGGATGCAGATGCTGCTGTGGAGAGCATGCAATTTGCTCAAAGGCATCATAAAATGGAAAATAGTCCAATGTTTGCTGCACAATGACCTCAACGTGCACGCCAAAGTGTCTTCCTAAACCACAGTCATCCAAGTAAAATACCGCATTTTTTGGGATCCATGCGATATGCTTCAAAGTACTTCCAACTTATCAGCAAACGTATTCTGGTTTGTCCAATCACAACGCAAGAAAACTCAAATTAAGGCAATCTCTGTTTCCAAAAGTGGCATTAAAAAGACACTTAATGAAAAAGTCTATTTGATACGCGTTCCCATATGCTATCTATGCATACTGCTCTTGCTTTGTGGCTCTTCACCAGTTTAACTAAAGGACCGCGGGGCCCTCGGGGGCCGATCATTGTGCAGCTCAGCAGCGGCTCCACTTCCTGTCTCCTCCTCCCTGTGGGACCTGCAGCCTGCAGTTTACTCTCCATATCTCTAATTGCCACTGAGGGAGCCTCTGCCTCTCCCTGCGTGTTGCTCGGTACCAGCCCACAGTGGACGCTTCCACCAGTAAATCCAACATTAGGGGATTAATTAGGCAGAAAACAACGGGTCATAAGAGCGCTAACGACAGAACAACAAGGCACTGGTCTTACTCTGTGCACAGCAGACACAGCTACAGCCGAGGGGGGGCTAATTAGCTTCAGAGCTTAGCTGTGTTTCATCTGGGAGAATATTATATGTCCAGGAATATCATTCTTGTTATAAAGCTATATTACAAGATCAGGTTGACGTATACAAAAAACTGTTGTTGCATTTCTTATAATATACTAATAAAGAAGATGACTTAATGACATTTCTTTCATTTAGATTGCTGTAAATACAACAAATTATCTGCTAAATGTAGTCAGAAACAGCTTTTTATTTACACATGTAGCCCATATTAACAGTGTGAAATCTGTCTCTTCAGCTGATTTTACTTCACATGTCCTTGTGTCCCTTATATTTATCTGTATTCAAATGTATTTTAATGTCTGCTGTGCTCTTGTGTTTGTTATGTTTTAATCTGTTTGAGTATTCCTTTTATGCAACATAAACTGTCCTTGGGTGACACCAATTCTCAAGGCGCCTCAAAATACATTTGTATAATTATTTTAGTTAGCTGACACATCTATCCAAAGTGTCTTAGAGTAAGTGCAATCATGCAATTTGCATGTTAATATTGTCACAGTTTATGTTTGATGATGCCATATCTGTCTCCTCATCATCTCGTCGTGGAAGAAACTCTAACCAACAGATTTAGTGAGTTAGATGCTTATTCTCTCTGAGTTTGTCACTGCAACAGCCCTCTTTCACGTGACACATCATCGTTTTTTCTATTGTCTGTATAAATATCATTTATAGCGCAGCTTTAGAGTGGAAAACCACCAGTTTCCATATCCAGATGCAACTGTTGCTTGACAGAAAGCTAACCTGCGTGTTCTCTTCCAGATTCGGTGATGGCTACACGGTGACGGTGCGTGTGGGCGGCTCCCCCCCCGCTCTGAAGCCGGTGGAGGACTTTGTGCAGCATGGGTTCCCAGGCAGCGTGCTGAAGGAGAAGCATCACAACACGCTGCTGTACCAGCTGCCCTACACAGAGGGGGCGCTGGCACACATCTTCAGCCAGTTCACCTGCCACCAGCTGCGCCTGCAGGTTGAGGACTACTCCGTCTCCCAGACAACACTGGACCAGGTCAGAGCCACAGCTTTTAATATACTAAATATTCTATAAAAAGCAGGCTTATCAAAGGCTTTATTATAGGCAGAATATAGAAAATAAATAGTGCAAAAATAAATAGAAAAATAAAAAAATAAATACAAAATAGATACAAAATTAATATTGTAAAATGGTGCCAGAAGAAATTGAAATAAAATAATGCAGAGGTGAACACACCGTCCCTGTGATCAATCCTCCAGAGTATCTCTCTCCTGGGTAAAGGTACAAATCAATCAGCGGAAATCTCTCCATCTCCATTCATCCAGTGTTACTGCGATACAAAGCCAGCAGTATCTATAATATAATCTATACCATCAGAAATGAAGCAATATATTTGCAAAACATGTTATGTTAAGGTGTTTCGCACACACTGTTCTTCCAGTTGTTGTTTTGCATTGTTAGCTTGACAGCATCTGGAAATCGAAAAAGCAACACCGGCTCCATGATGCGAGAAGCATTTCCACTTTGCTCTGGGCATTGTATGTTTCTTTTGTGAAACCGTGATTATTTCCAACGGTTAGTTAAAGGTGCAGAGTGATGATGGCAAAGGTGTTCTGCTCTTTGACAAAAAATGTTGAGCGGAGCATGGGAGTGAAATTGTTTAATCATTTATTTAAGAGCAGAACATCCGTTTTGAAATTCATCCGTTTCGGGTAGGAATGTGCCAAATATTTATTATTTATTATTGTTACTGTCATAATAATAATAATTTCTTATTAATGTATTGCATATTTCTGTGAATATTTGTATTTCTTTTTTTTAATGTTTACTTTTCGATAAAAAAACTTCTGGAGTTATTGAAATGCCTTAAACAATTTATAAAATCTAATTCTACTAATATTGAATACTTATTTGATACAGTGTAGCCTCAGCTTTATCAGACACTATGCACAATTACCAGCTTTAATCAGAATCACTTCACACTTAAACATTTATTTAATTTTTAATTAAGCAGACATATATTTAGCAGTTATTTGCAGCAGATGTCAGTCTCCCCATTTAACTTGTGATTGAAGAGCATCCGGGTCCTGCTCTGTTGTCCTGCTGTTTTTCTGCAAATCTTGGCTCAGTTGAGCAGATCATTAGTGCTTCAATCAATGCATTCAGCATTTGAAGTGCCCTCAGTTAAAGTCCGCTCAGTGCAGGGTCTCAAGATCCCTCTCTGCCCACACGCTGTTAGACTGACCGTCGAGGACTCCTCTGAGTCTCTGCAGCAAACACAGCCCGGCCTCAGCTCTGCGGATCGATAAAGATCTGCACAAAGGTTTTTCTTAAAATAAAACGCTCAGGCAGCCAGCTGTGAGATGAACTGAGGCTGGGTTTTACAGTCCTTGTGTTTCTCTAACGACCCCTAGGAGCAGACGCAATCAGAGCGGAGAGAAAGTGTGTGCGTGTGTGTGTGTGTTTAACCTCTAAGGGTCCTGGCAGGTTATCACCATGCTTGAGAAAAGAGTGCTCTGCATTCGATGTAGGATTTAAATGAAAACGTATGAAGCATTACCTTATCAATTCGAGATGAATGTTTTTCAGCTTTATTTAAGCAGATTGTGTTCTTCATGGGGCAATGAGCCTATCATGAAACGGACAAGAAAGCTACATGCTTTTATTTGGTTTCATTTAGCATGACTTTTGGATGTTACTTTGAAGAAATCAAGACTTAAAAACTCACAGGTGGATATTATAATGCCTCTCCTTAGTTCCTAACTCACACATCATCCCTAGGGCTGTATGATTCAGAAAACTAACACATTTTTATGTTTTGGCTATAACTGCAATTGCAATATGATTCACGCCATTGATCATTTTGGTGGGAGAGAAACTCTTTGGGAAGTTAGCCTTTGCAGACCATTTACATGCACAAAAACCTCTAGAACAGGGATATCAAACTCAATTTCATCGCGGGCCAGCATCAGCATTATGGTTGCACTCAAAGGGCCGGTTGTAACTATATAAATATACATATATAAATATATAATATACATAAAATAATGTATTATATTACATTATTGGATTATTATCGGATAGGGTAATAACTTCATAACTACGTCTGAAAGCAGAAGTCCAGGGCAAATAATTGCAAGTCTCTTCAGTGTCACAAAATGAGATGCATTGTAGGACATGTAGTTTATGGGCAACGTGCTTCTGTAAATCGGCATGTGACCATATAATAAACGTATTATATTCTTTGCAATCTCTTGCCGGCCACATAAAATGAAGTTGCAGGCCGGATTTGGCCCCCGGGCCTTGAGTTTGACACCCCTGCTCTAGAACAAACTGCAGGGAAAGGAAAACAGCATAAATAAGAATAGGACCTCTTTATTAAATATTTCTCAGATACAGTAAGAGTCAGTAAATAACCGATAGTTCCATGTGCAGACTGCCACCTCTCAGCCTGTGATTTATAGCGAGCAGCATTGACCTGTAGGATAGCAGACGACCTGCACTGCGATTAGTATTGATCGACAGCCTGCAGCTCAGCGCTAACACACACAGGAACATGTGACTGTGTGTTAGCGTGGACTATTTTCTACTGTTCTACCACTTAATGTGCACTATAGTCTCTGCTGCACTACTAACGCAGAAAAGCCTTTAGCACATAAGATATCATATCTTAATTATCACTTCCCTGTCTTCGTATATTTAAAAAGTAATGTGACCTTCTTAGAGTTAATGTAACTCCTGTCTGTTACTGTTAAACAATTTAAATATTGCAGGAGCTCTGACACACTGTGACAACAGTAAAGGTGACTTACAGTCCAATTAACTCGTATTATAGTGAAATTAGCCCTAATATAGACGCCTAAATGATAGATTTAATAAAACAAATAACCATTATAGATAAAAAGTGATTTGTAATTATGCTTCAATTATGCATACACTCTTTTTATGACATTTTACTGACGTTTTATCTTGGAATGAACCAAGGATGAAAGTCTGCTTTTGTTCAATTTGAAATGTGACAGAAGTCAGATTTTTTAAACGAGGGATTTCAAAGTAAAAACCTTGTCAAAGTCGAGACAGCAGAATAATTACTGCCACCATTGGAGCAAAATTCTCTTCAAAATTACCCAATAAAAACGAGACGTGTAGAAATGATCAGCTGAAATGATATTCTATGTTATTTGAAAGGACCATAATATTAAGGAAAGGATATTTTATTTCAGCAGAAAAGCCGTAAACCTCCTCTTTTGTTCAGAAATGTCGTCTTTATTAGTAGCATTAAATTCTAAAGCTAGTTTAAGTGTGTTATTGAAACAGAAGATCTTTACTCTCCATTTTCTCACATGTTGTTACTCTCTATCCCATTTCATTTAATAGGGCGTGTATCTTTGAAAAGGATTGAATTCACAGTGAGCGACGTCTGATTGAATTGGTCTTATTGTTTATACAATCTCACGTATCCTTTTACATCCCGAAGCAATGCTCTTATTCTTTTATATGATGCTGCTTCCTGTGGAGAGTAAAAACTCTTCATCACGCAGACGCCTTGCTGTTTAATTTAGAAGCTTCTTCATCTTCTCCTCTTCTCCTTCAGGTGTTTGTGAACTTTGCGAGGCACCAGCATGTGGAGGACGACGCTCGGACCTTCGACAACGCCGTGGACACTTCAGACGAGCTGCCGCTGCAGGCTGTGAAAACTCAAGAGGAACACCTGAAACAAGTCTGAACACATTTCAATTTACTCTGGCAGAGGGATGACGTTTCTGCACAGATATATTCAAAAATGACACATTTAAATGTTTGTCTTCCATCGCCATTTGTACCCAATCATCTCTTACTTAACCAATCTTAATCTAGCCTTATCGTGAGTAATCAAACCCTTCATCCTTGTTTCATTCAAGTGAAAGAATACTCTTTTAGCAGTTTTAAATATTTGTTTTATATTTGGTCAGTGGAAAGAGAAACTGCAGACAAAGAAAGGATAAAATGTATGTGTTTATTTCCAATTTAAAACAAGTAAGGATATTGAAATGAGTCTTAAATAGGAGAACATTTCAAAAAGAGTTGGTGAATGCACTGTTATCAAGAGAAAATACCATTTAGAAAACTAGTAAGCCTTAAGGACAACATTATTTCAACGTGTCTGCATCAGGAAAAATCTTCTTCCTAAGGTCACTGCACTGATTAAAGAGTAATCAAACACTCTTACTGCACTTTTACAGGTTTTCTAATCAACTTTAAAGACTTAATTCCGGAAGAAAATGACTTAATTTTAAGGATGCTTGTCTGGGTTTTCCCTTTCCTGTAGTGTGTTGTACTAATTTGGAGCACTTGCGCTTCTATAGGCTAGCACTCCAACACATTGACATCTCTAAGCGGTTGACCAATCAGAGCAGACCTGGTGAACATGTCACAGTAGAAGCACAAAATACTAACATGAGCATGATAGGGCATCTTTTAGGAGATGTTTGGTATATATAAGGTTTAGTTTGCAGTATATTGGAGTAATAATCCTCTAAAAGCTTCACACACTGCACAGGATGCCTCGGGATCAAACTTTATTTGAAATGATATTTGAAATTAGTTTACATTTGCTGCTGGTTCTAATGATGCACCACAGTTAGTTGCTACCTCATATTTCCCACTCTTATATGTCTGCAGAATATCTAATGAATGTATCCAACAGATTCATATTTAATGACATCTTTAAGGCATTTTCTTGTGAAATGTATTTTATTTATCGCTTCTTCTTCTTTGCAGAATCTAAATAACATATGACCAGAAGAGAACTGTCATAATATTACATAATTAAATAAATATATACATATTTATTCACAACGTGCCTTCAAACACCAGCATGCCTTAGATGTGTAAACAACATCATAATATGCAACTATATAGAACATTTAATTGTGATTTTTGATCTTTATTTTAATTTCCTTATTGTGTTCACCATTTAGAAAGTGCAGTTTACAGTGATAGTCTGCAAAAATACCACTGACAACAAACATGTCACTTCTGCATATCTCAGGAATGTGTTTATGTGCAATTTGCCTCAGGAAAATCTACATGTAGTTATTTATAATAAATCATACTTGTGTGTACTGTACAATATTTACAGATTGTCTCAAAGATTAAAAATCACAAAAAAAACGTTTTCTTTTGCAGCTTTATTGACTTTGGGAGGTGAATACTTCCTCTCATCTGCATGCTAGCTCCTGACATTAGCATCATGCTATCATTCTAGCTCCTCACGTTAGCATCATGCTATCATGCAGAAAATAATTAGTCCTGCTCAATGCCAAAACGATTAAACTTGTTGCTACATTGTAATGTGATGCACTCTCTGTCGTCTTCCTGCATTCAGTGGCCGTTTCTCAATCGCGAGGATGCTGGCTTGGTAGTCGCGTACTTCCAAGTCACTTCCTTCAGAAACGAAGCAAGTATGCTTCCAAGCCACGGCTTCGGAAAACGAAGAAGAATGGAACAGGCTAACAAGTGTGCCAGGTGTGCGTCATATGAGAGGCCCCGCCTTACATTTTCCGCCACTGATTTGGGGAAATTGGTCCGTGCGCAAAGCATTGTGGGGATTTTAAGGACGCAAAGTCTACCCATGTGCAGCCTCGAAATTTCCCCCAAACCAAGGACGCGGCCTCGGTGGAATTCCAAGTATGCTGGACATTGGAACGGTCCTGCTGCGCCACTTGATGACGTAGCATCCTTGAAATATTGGCTTGGAAGCCAATATCCTCGCGATTGAGAAACGGCCATTGTGTCTGTCTTCCTGCTCACTTCTTCTTCATGTGTTTGACATTTGTTGAGTATGTCCACAGGGGGCCAGAAGACAGAAGACAGACGGCAGTGCAGAGAGAGTAAGACTTTTTTATTTCACATTTCAAAACTTTTATTCCTTTCTTTATTTTCCTTGTCTTCTGCAGTGCATTCATTTGAATGTATTGTCTTTTTTCCAAATGAAATACAAAGCGTGTTTGCCTTAAGGTTGGACCACATGTTTCCTAAATTATAATTTCATTTCCAATAACAATTTCCGGTTTTCTTCCTACTCAACTGATCTATTTTGAGTGTCTGCTCTAATTATCACTCTGAATAATAGATATGGATGAAGATGATTAACTGATCATTCAGACATATCTGAGGAAGATGCACGACGAGTGGCAGACATTTTCAATTATTTCTGTAAGTATGTTTTCGTTGTTCTTCAATCTAAATCGAAAAAATATTGTGTGATATTATTTATGTAATACGAATACATCCTATTAGAAAAAAGAAGTAATGTGACAGCCTTATTGTTTAAAAAAACAACTAATAACAGAACTGGGAAATGAGGTCAATATTCAGAGAGAAATGTATTAAAGTGGTACATTTACAAGAAAAAACTCAAAAGTAATTTATGGTTATTAAGTTTCAAAATAATTATAATTTGAAAATTAAATAATATACAAAAATGTAAAAATATGAATATAGAGCCTTAGATTTAAAATACAAAAATAATGATTCATGAATAAAACTAAAACTCTCTTCACAAGTTTCCGCCACTGCTGCAGCATGTTGAAGGTCGTACTTCTTGTGAGTCCTTGCATTTTTCCCATGATGCAGTGCAGTAAAGCGATGGTGAACAGATGTATCTTTCTCTTTTGGCCGACTGTGCTTATCTGAGGGTGCAGGGTGCTGATACTGTGAGTCTCCAAACTACGGCCCTTCAGATTTAAACAGCGCCCTCTTCTCTGTACTCCACCCACGCTAAGGTCAAACCATCCCGATTGAAGGGAGGGGGGGGGAATATTTTCTGCCACCAAAGAAGGGGAGACCAAGGTGGCCCTTCAACATGGCCCTGAACGCCCCGTCAAAATAAAAGCGTGTGTGAATCATCCGGACGCTGAGCTGATCAGTATGCAGCTGCAGGCGGAGGTGTGTGTAGCATTAATGGCTTCTTTCTTCTGTTTAACCCCTAACCCTGCACTGCATAGCAAATCAACTGCAATTAAACTTTCACCACGTTTACATGCACTAAATCCAACTTTATTCTGAAAAACACAATGTTTCACCAAGCTGTTTAAGATGAAGACTAGTATAACCCTATTATTTCTGTTTACATGCACCGTGTAAACTCTGATTAACTTAAAAATCCCCCGATGAGATACGTCTCGCCCTTCAAATAACTTTCATCCTATCAGCTGCGGCCATATTACTCAAAGTGAACCCTCTTTGCCATTGTTTAAAACGTTTTGAAAACTTAAAAAGGAGAAGAAGAAGGACTATTACGAGATGAAGAAGAATGAATGACGCAGTGATGTGATCAGGTTTGTCCTCCAGGTGTCTGCCGATGATTCATTATGCTCTGATGTAATTGTGAGGAGGAGTAATAATCAACACTACAAAGATAATTTGCATAATCTACGCAAGTCCTACGGAGACATGATGTAACGTCTTCGGCAGAGGAATAACTCAGCGCTGATTGCTAAGGTGACTTAAAGGAAGCTAGATAACTCAAACACAGACCATACTCTATCAAAGACTATTCTGACGCCTTGATAAAGATTCAAATGTCACATCCTTCTGAGAGAAATAACCCAATAGAAGCACTGCCATAAAAGAGGCTTTGCATTATTCTTTATGGAAGCTACTATCTTAAATTAAAAGAAGGAAGGAAGAAGAAAGAAGAAAGATCCCCCTTTACTCAAACCAGGAGACAAGATGGAGATTTCAGTGTGATGCAAAATGTCAACAAAGGCAATTCACTGGAGGAGGAGAAGCGTGTTTACACAGGACGACAAAAGCAGAAGTGATATTTCTTTACAGCAAAACACACACTGGGAAACTAAAAGTCCATGCAGCGTTTAGTTTTCTCTCTCTGGAACCTGATTTCCATTGCAGGAAAACAACATATTGAAGTTAACAAGTTAATATTCAAATCAAATCCCTACTGGTGTTCATTTTAACACGAGCATCCTGTTTCATGTTGAACAGGGGGAAGTCTAGAAACATTTTTATGGAGGTAAAGAAGTGAATAAAAAGTTTTATACGTAAATAAAAACATCAAAGACTTAAATGAAGTTCAAAGCAAAGAATAAATAATCTCAGAACAATAGTTGTGTTTTTAAACTAGCACAACAAAGATTTTAAAAGAGCGATTTTTCACTTTCAAATCCCCAAATGTCCTCTTCTTACTTTTAAGCTTCAGGCATGACTTTGTTTCAGCCACAGGCAATGTGAATATCTGCATGTGTGTTGAAAATTATAAAATGTGAGTTATTATTGCATCCTGCACAGATCTCCTACTTATGTTTATCTAAGTATTAAAGTGCACCTATCATGCTATTTTTGGGCATATATTATGGGTCTTAGATATATACAAATATATCAAAACATATGTCTATGATGTGTTTCTCTCAAAATACAAACAGATCATGCATTTTAGACATCCCTCATATCCCTCTATTCCAGCCCTGTTAGAGAAACGCGGATTTTGGGTCCTTAGCTTAAAAAAATAAAAAGAGGAGGCGGAGCTAATGCCTGATCAGAATTCTACCGGAGATACAGTTCAATTCTGCTGTGATAAAACGCCATCCTGTTCTAAACCACATCAAGGATTATTTCTGAAACAGTATGGAGCTCAAATAATTTTTCTCTTGCGGGTTTACCACAAGGTGAGTTCCTTTTTTTATTTCCTGCTTTTTAAACACATGTGCTCTCTCCAGTAGGTACAGGTTAGTTCTGAGTGTTAGCGAGGCTTGCTAATGTAAACAAATACCATATTACGTCCAAAACACGTCAGGCATTGTTTCTGATAGCAACTCTCTGTGGGTCCACCATCCGAAATTACGTAATATCGGCAGCAAATCTGTATCCGCTCGTTGAACCCCCGTTTTTAAAGGGTTTTATTTTCTGACGCTGCGTGAGTTCCCCGACACACCAGGGACACATATTTATGTATAAAAGACATAAAAAAGTGCATTTTGCATGGTAGGTCCCTTTTAAGACTTTTCTCGATCTTACTAATAGACATAGTTCAGTTTCAGAGAATGCCATGGCAACATCCCCCTCTTTGCACTAACAGGAAGTGATTAAACTATGTGCTGTCTTCTTTGTGAAGTGATTCAAAGCAGACTTTAGCACTCAGTATCACAGCGTTCATCAGCAAATCCTCTACTTTAATTACCTGTTGTATGGTATCCATAGCAACAAGTGTCTTTGGGTCAGATGCACCTGCAGAGCTAGTCTTAACATTTGTCTTAGTGTGTGTGCATGTGTGTGTGAAAGGCCAGGCGTATGGATCAGCGGGGTTTACCAGCTTCAGGCAGAGAGCACGTTTCCGTGTGGTCGTTCTGAATCCAGACGTACGCAGACTTTAGATTATATATGGAAGCCTAAGAGGGACAAACCTCACCCTGATGAAGGTAAAGAGTTATACACGTTTTAAGGTTCCCTCTGTGGTGATTGCATTTAAAGATAAATACAGGCTTTAATAGTAAACCTGTCATCAATTGGATGAATGAATCCCACAAATTCTGATTGTGATTTTGATTATAGGGCTTAACAGAAAGTAATTTTTTTACATTAAATCTTCTTTTTAGGTATGCAAATTAAGATTTAAATGTCCATTGTCCTAATTTATGAAGATTTAAAAAAATATTTTTAGATATTGTGGTTTTATAACCGTGATGTTTTGGACTAATATAGTTGTTTGTGTGCAGTAAGCAGGAAAACAGATCTGTTTTTCTGAGCAAAATAAAAAAGGAAAATGATTTTGAGGCTCAAAAGAAAAAATGAATTTAAGCAGAATATTTGGCTTGACAAAAAGCTGTTTTGGAAATGATTACATTTATCTTTTTCCAATTATTTTAATGAATGAAGCTTCAAATTCTTCCCGATTGCTGTTCACAGAGGGAGTTGAAGACCTTTTTCCAAAGACATGACCTCCGTTACCTGATGTCTTTCTGATCGCATCGAGAGAAATCTTACTTAGAGACTCCGAATAGTTTCAAAGAGCTCTTTCTCACTAGATGCATTTTGGCAAAGGCCTGCCCTCACCCTGCGAGTCAGCAAGTCTTCTCTGCAACCTTGAGTCATTTCTCTGCACCCTGGAGTTGTCTCTCTGCATCTGAAGTCAGGAAACAAGAG